ATACTAGGATCAAGGGCTACCAAGTTTGTTTAAATGTATGACCTTGAATCATATTCAAGGTCATAAGGAGCAAATATGTTTAAAATATTTCCACATCTTGTTCTGAATAACCAAAAGGCTCAGGATGTTGATATTTAGTCAGTAGCATGCTGGGATCAAGGACTACTATGTTTGTTAAAGTGAATGACTTTGACTTATATTCAAGGTCACAGGGGTCAAATATGTTTAAATCTTTAAACGACATCTTCTGAATAACCATGGGTCCCAGGATGTTGATACTTAGCAAGTTGCATCCTGAGATGAAAGGCTATAAAATTTGTTCAACATAATGACTTTGTTAGACTTTCAATCACAGGGGTGAAATGTTTAAAAAAAAAAAAAATAACAGGTTCTTTTGAATGAATTTTAATCATAAATACTGATATTTTATTTTGCCTGTAGCTTTATTATAGATCACTTTTAAGGTTACAAGTGTGAGATTTATACCAGGTGAGCGATGCAGGCCCATTGGGCCTCTTGTTACAAATTCTGGTATGTCTCGGCCAGGGGACAGAACCCAAAGCCTTCTTCACCGGGGCGAATGCTCAACTAAAGGCCAAAAGTGAGGCATTGTCAATGGAGACATTAGGAAGAAGAAAGTTGTTTAGAAAGAAGAGAAAAGATAGATCCAAAATTGAGTCGCCTCTTACGATCATGCAATGTGGTATATTTACTGTGACAGTGTAATACACTCATAAATGTGGTATATTTACTGTGACAGTGTAATACACTCATAAATGTAGTGTATTTACTGTGACAGTGTAATACACTCATAAATGTACTATATTTACTGTGACAGTGTAATACACTCATAAATGTAGTTTATTTTCTGTGACAGTGTAATACACTTTTAAATGTAGTATATTTACTGTGACAGTGTAATACACTCATAAATGTAGTATATTTATTGTGACAGTGTAATACACTTATAAATGTAGTATATTTACTGTGACCGTGTTATACACTTATAAATGTAGTATATTTACTGTGACAGTGTAATACACTTATAAATGTAGTATATTTACTGTGACAGTGTCCTACACTTATAAATGTGGTATATTTACTGTGACAGTGTAATACACTTATAAATGTAGTATATTTACTGTGACAGTGTAATAGACTTATAAATGTAGTATATTTACTGTGACAGTGTCCTACACTTATAAATGTGGTATATTTACTGTGACAGTGTAATAAACTTATAAATGTAGTATATTTACTGTGACAGTGTAATAGACTTATAAATGTAGTATATTTACTGTGACAGTGTCCTACACTCATAAATGTGGTATATTTACTGTGACAGTGTAATTCCCTCATAAATGTAGTGTATTTACTGTGACAGTGTAATAAACTTATAAATGTAGTATATTTACTGTGACAGTGTCCTACACTTATAAATGTGGTATATTTACTGTGACAGTGTAATACACTTATAAACGTAGTGTATTTACTGTGACAGTGTAATACACTTATAAATGTACTATATTTACTGTGACAGTATAATACACTTATAAATGTAGTATATTTTCTGTGACAGTCTAATACACTTAAAAAGGTAGTTTATTTACTGTGACAGTCCAATACACTTAGTAATAAAACATATTTACAAAAAATCTTAAAAATACATTACAACATTATAATGCAACATATATCTACTACTACAATGATATATAAATATGTGTCCCTTAAACGTTATACACTAATTCAAAATGATAATATTACATTGTTTCAGGGAAAATGTATTTTTTCTTTACAAATATACCATATATCCAGTTATTTTCATGGTTCTCAATTTTCAAGCTAGAATTCTGTTGAGCAACATAGCGCTCCGTATGTTAATTGTTGTCAAGCATGACGTCGTTAGAACCTGGCATCAAATATTACGCTACTCTTTTCCGCACGTTTTCGGGTCACAGTTATCTTTTCATCATTTTATTTAAAAAAAATGTTATATATAGAAAATTAACAAGTTTTACCGTTGAAATACCACATATATTTCACTTGTATGACACTATACCGATATTTTCACTTGTGCTTTCCACCTGTGAAAAATATCGGTATTGTGCCATTCTCGTAAAATATGTATTGTATTCAGTGGGAAACAATTAAATATCCTCCACATATAGGTCACTGTGACCTTAATTTCTAGGTCAAAGGTCAAATAAGTACCAAGCAAGTACGAATATTGGCTGATAAGTACATATGTAAGTTCACAAAAACTTAAGTTGGTTATCTACTACAGTACCAAGCAAGTACGAATATTGGCTGATAAGTACATATGTAAGGTCACAAAAACTTAAGTTGGTTATCTACTACAGTAGAGAGCCAATTATCCAAACATTACAGGATATATCTTAAATATAGAAGATTGGTCGTTCAGATAACCATTGACACAATTTTAAAGCTACTTATTTATCAGAGGACACGACCGAGGTTTGGTAAGAAGATTATGGTTAGGTAAAAAGGTTATGTACAAGATATATCATACACTATGGAGTAACATCAACTTCTAGACTTTTTAGATTTTGGACATTTTCAAGGTCAAAGTCACGACTTTCCAGCCACAACTTATCTGATTGACCCATTTTCAAGCCACAACTTATCTGTTTGTCCCATTATTCAGCCACAACTTATCTGTTTGTCCCACTTTCCAGCCAGTGATTTAGAGGTTGTTTTTATATTTCTATATAAAAGTGTTACAGTTAATCTGGATGTCTCACACTATAGACTGTAGACCATATATAGATACATTAGTTCATTTCAGTGATTTAGTAACAAATATAGTTTGCTTTAACAAAATTGTTCCCCACACAGACTTTCATGAGAATGAATTATTAATCACACTAGAATGTCGACTATTTTTTCTCTGATGATCATAATAACAAAAAAATCACTAGAATGTTGAAAAGATTTTCTCAAGTGATTATGATGACGTACAATCAGGGTAGAATGTTGCCTGGTTGTTTATTGTGGTCAGTTTGTGGTCTGATTCTCTGTTGTCATGATAACTATACCTACTAGCTTTACAGTATTGTCACAGGAGTCGCACACTGTTGTACTGTAGTAGTTTAACATTCCTCAAACCAAACTCTGCCCACAGGACATCCTCCCTGTCTACACCTACAGCCCATGCACAGTTTGCGTCTGTGTGTATGATCCTGAGGAACTCCCAACGTCCACTGATGAGTAGGAGTCTGTTGTTGTTTAAGTTCCCTATGCTAATGTTTCCCACACTGTCATACACCACACTCCTGGGGTTGAATGGTTCAGCTCCTTTATGTGATGATTGTTTGTATGTTCTGGGGATGTCACCTCTATATACAAACAGTTCCTTGAAATCAGTGTCCATAACAATAACATGTTTTATCCAATTACCACCATCACCCTTATAATTCCTATCAACCACTGCGATATTGTGAGTGACAGGACACTCTGAGATCCTCCATGGTGAACACACTAATGGCTTCCCAATCCCTGTAGAACTTCTAGTCAGTACCATTTGACCTTGTGTGGTAAATTTGGAGATGTTGTTGGTCATCCCCACAATGACATAGTTACTGGCAGTAACACAGGTACACATGGGTCTCTCCTTGGTGCTGAATCTGTGTGACAGTTGTCCTGATACCAGCTCCATGATGTTGTTTTCTGTATCACAGACCCACAATGTTTGTGATGTTGGTGACATACTTAGGTTGTTGATTTTAGTTTTGTGTTTGACCTCTTGTATTACTTTCCCCCTCCTGTCCAGGAGAGTTAATGTTTTACTGTAACACACACTGGTCCACACCTGACCATCAATGGTGGGGCATATGGAATCAATACCAACGGGAGACTCCCACTCCTCCAACACTTTGGTCTGTGGCAGTAGTTTGTACATAGTCACTGCCTTCTTTCCTTTTGGTTCTGACTGTTGTGATGTAGAGGATGGTTTCTGACCACCAGATGTTCTGACTGACCCGTCCTGGTCAGTTGAAGCTTGACCTTGATATAACGCAGTAATTTTCCCAAAGGCCAGTTCTAGGTGATGTTGAGGATTTTTGTTTGGAGTGAAACTGGCAGTACCCAGGACAGATTTTACAGGGAAACTTATTTGGGAATGAATTTCACATCCTTTGTCGTAGATTTCTATGTGAGAACCTTGCTGGAGTGCTGCTTTGCATTCTTGAATTTGCTGTCTGAGTTGCTTGTCGTACATTTCAAGGTCCTGTTTGTATTTTTGTATTAGTTTGGTATTATCCTCCTCCGTTTTATGAAAAAGAGAGAGTGTCTGTGCTGTAAGCAAGTGGAGGTCTTGTTTTAATTTGTCTGTTTGCATTTTCAGCTTGTGTGAAAGTTTCTCAAAATTGCTGGTGTTGTCTTTAAGTAGTGTGTCAGTAGATGTGATATATTCCATACGTTAGGTCATTTTGTTCAGTTCTGTCAATAAAGTTTTGAATGTCTTGTTTCTTTGTAGGAGTAATTTTGATGAATTCACAAACGTCATGGCCTTTGTGAGTAGATAACAGACATTTAAGACAAACAAGTGTATCACATTTTTCACAGTAAAGTTCCAATGGTCTCCCCTTATGTTCAGTACAAGTACGGAGAGGGATTTGACCTATGGGTGTTGCCATGTTGATGAAAAAATTGAGGAAGAGGCAAGAAAATCTATAAATAGACTCAAACAACTTGTCTATTATAACTGATATTGAATAACAGTCACAAAATAGACTTTTTTTGATGTCTCTAAATCTTGACTTTATACCGAGCTCCAATCCAGGCACCATGTGTTCATAACACATAATTGTAAAGACACTAAAGTATAGCTACCTGATGCTCACTGATGTGAGTTACTCCAAGCCTCAGGATGTCAACATCAAGGAAACACAGGTACATATTGTAGTTGTTTATATCCGAAGTATTTGATTCCTTGTCCAGGTAAATATCCAATACCATATTGTGTTAATTAGTTATTCTTGCTCAGATACATTTGAAATGTTCCAAGGAGGCATTTCTGTTTAATGTCTGTTGATAGTACGTTTCTCATTGTTAATACAATGTCCAAACTGAATACGCCTATCCAGCAGCACAAAGTCCAAACTACCCAGCCAGCATTTACAATCTACCTGAGCAGGTGTGTATCTATTTAAAAAATAGTACTTCCCTGTTGTGGACATCCTGTAATATACAGTAAAGCCTTACTATACTGATACCTGATCTTAAGGACAACCTGTATTATACAGTAAGTCCTTACTATACTGACACCTGGTCTTAAGGACAACCTGTAATATACAGTAAAGCCTTACTATACTGACACCTGGTCTTAAGGACAACCTGTATTATACAGTAAGTCCTGACTATACTTACACCTGGTCTTAAGGACAACCTGCATTATACAGTAAATCATGCCTTTAATGACACCGGACTTTAAGTCGTTATTAAACGGAGAAATACAATCTTCGTGATAATTTTTTAAAAGTTCACTCATACTGTTTTAAACTACATGTATCTACTTAAAATAGAACATTACTATATGGCAAGCCAACTTAACATTTATTCAAGGAGCAATGTCGATCCTGTATTTCATCGAATTATATAAGATATCTTATATAGCATATGAGATATCTTATATACTATATAAGATATCTTATATAGAAATTAAATGAGATGATATATAAGATATCTTACATGATATATAAGATATCTTATATCGTATATAAGATATCTCATTTTTTTTGTAAAATTTGAACACAGGTCTACCAATGGAGACTGGGAGATGTATACATAGTTGTGATGTAATGACCACATGTAGTAAACACTAACTTTATTGTTGGTACTTCATGTGACATTGCCTTTTAAATGTAGCTATAATCAACTGTCTATATTCTTTGGATTGCATAATGTAAATGCATCTATATGTTATTAGCTCACCTGCCTGAAGGGCAAGTGAGCTTATGCCATGGTGCGGCGTCCGTCGTCCGTCCGTCGTCGTCCGTCGTACGTCCGTCGTCGTGCGTCAACTTTTCCTTTAAACAACTTCCTCTGAAGAACTAAAATGTATAGAGTCATGATATTTGGCTGAAAGCTTCGTTGATAGGAGTTTGACAAAGTTTGAGAATGAAAATGACCTTGACCTACTTTCAAGGTCACAGGGGTCAAATGTGTCAAACACTTCAAACGACTTCTTCTGAAGAACTGAAAGGTATAGAATCTTCATATTTAACAAGTAGCTTCCTAAGATGGAGCCTATTAAAGTTTGAGAATGAAAATGACCTTGACCTACTTTCAATGTCACAGGGGTCAAATGTGTCAAACACTTCAAACGACTTCTTCTGAAGAACTGAAAGGTATAGAATCTTCATATTTAACAAGTAGCTTCCTAACATGGAGCCTATTGAAGTTTGAGAATGAAAATGACCTTGACCTACTTTCAATGTCACAGGGGTCAAATGTGTCAAACACTTCAAACGACTTCTTCTGAAGAACTGAAAGGTAAAGAATCTTCATATTTAACAAGTAGCTTCCTAACATGGAGCCTATTAAAGTTTAAGAATGAAAATGACCTTGACCTACTTTCAATGTCACAGGGGTCAAATGTGTCAAACACTTCAAACGACTTATTCTGAAGAACTGAAAGGTATAGAATCTTCATATTTAGCTGGTTGCTTCCTGTGATAAAGTCAGACAAAGTTTGAAACTGAAAATGACCTTGACCTACTTACAAGGTCACAGGGGACAAATATGTCAAACAGTTAAACGACTTCTTCTGAACAATCTATAGATTTATAATATTTGGCTGGTAGCTTCCTGGGAAGGAGCCGACAAAGTTTACGAGTGAAATATTTGAAGTACAGGATAAATTTTAATGAGAATATTTTGCTTGATATTCAGGTGAGCGATACAGGCTCTCTGGGCCTCTTGTTTTCATTTTATATGTGTTGTAACCTGTCTATCTTATATATATGTATACAATATGCTGATGGCACAAATGTCTTGTTGCTAAATAAGAAGATAAGAATATGACCATTTTCTAGATTAATAAATTGCAGTTATGATAAAAACATGATGTTATGCATGTTCTTATGATATTCAAGAAAAAATGCGTTACAGATAAACGGTAATCTTTGAAGTTGAAACAGTGTTCGTAGTGGTGTCTAACAGACAACATTTATTTCTCGGAGACGTGTATATGTATAAACGTCAGACACGAAACCACCTGGCCATTTACTCATCCGTGTATAATCTTTAAAAAACAGACTGTAGTTAGAAGTACTGTAAATCGGTATTTTTTCTTATTCTGAGACGAATATCAATAGTTCAATCAAGTAATGCTAATTATACCGATTTCTCGTGCAATTATGTATCGTTTGCTCTCACAGCGAAAACAATCAGTCGAGGAATGCTATGGTATGTGTGTTTGTTATTGTTTTGAACCAAAGAATTATAGTCATACTTACTCGGGGCGGCGATGTATCATGGGCAACAGTCTCCATACTGTATAACACTGGCTGTTGCAGGGACGTTATCCACACACAAACAAAACTTATTCGGGGATTTGCAAAGATATATGGCTATATTCGTTTCTCTAATGCCAGTGCACATATCTTGACCGTGTACTCTTATGAAACACAAACAAGTATCATTGGCATGTATTAAAACAGACAACCTGTACTATATTGACTTTAAGGCTAACGATACATGTGGTTTCATAATATTTATTTACCATCGCATCTTATTCATATGACTATAAACTGCCAACTGGAAAAAATCATAACAGGAAACTATGAATGCCATCCCAGAGCAGAGTAATACTTAAATGCATGATATAATACATTGTAGTTTTATTAATTTGGATATTTTACCAGATCGTGTTTAAATTTAATAGGTTGTTTACTTATCATGTAATTGTTTTCATGCAATGTTGCAACTTGTACTATAACAATATTTGTTTTACATGTATGAATTGAAAGAAAAATATTAAAAACAAATATCTATACATTGTAAGCTATACATATGTAACATAACTCACCTGAGCTAATAACATGTATTTTTAGGTCACCTGAGCTTTAGCTCAAGTGACCTATTGCTACCCGTCTTCGTCCGTCGCGATCGTCGTCCGTCGTCCATCGTCCGTTGTCCGTTAACATTTTACATTTTCAACTTAAGCTGAAATTCTGGCAAAGGGATTTCATTAATATTTCATGGGAAGGTTACTGACATCTCCCTGACCAAGTGTTGTTATTTTTCGAGTCGATCAGAAATTCAATATGGCCGCCACGGCCGCAATTTTGAAAAACTATTACAAACTTAGTCAAGTTCTGCTGGGCCGATTGAACTAAAAGTTGATAGGAATGATCGACTCATGGTCCTGACAAAGTGTTGTTATTTTTCGGGTCAATCAGAAATCCAATATGGCCGCCTCGGCCGCCATTTTGAAAAACTATTTCAAACTTAAAGTCACGTTCTGCTAGGCCGATTGAACTGAAACTTTGTAGGAATGATCGACTCATGGTCCTGACAAAGTGTTGTTATTTTTCAGGTCAATCAGATATCCAATATGGCCGCCACGGCCGTCATTTTGAAAAACTATTTCAAACTTAAAATCAAGTTCTGCTAGGCGGATTGAACTAAAAGTTGGTAGGAATGATGGACTCATGGTCCTGACAAAGTGTTGTTATTTTTCAGGTCAATCAGAAATCCAATATGGCCGCCACGGCCGCCATTTTGAAAAACTATTTCAAACTTAAAGTCAAGTTCTGCTAGGCCGATTGAACTGAAACTTTGTAGGAATGATCGACTCATGGTCCTGACAAAGTGTTGTTATTTTTCGGGTCGATCAGAAATCCAATATGGCCGCCACGGCCGCCATTTTGAAAAACTATTTCAAACTTAAAGTCAAGTTCTGCTAGGCCGATTGAACTGAAACTTTGTAGGAATGATCGACTCATGGTCCTGACAAAGTGTTGTTATTTTTCGGGTCGATCAGAAATCCAATATGGCCGCCACGGCCGCCAATTTGAAAAACTATTTCAAACTTAAAGTCAAGTTCTACTAGGCCGATTGAACTGAAACTTTGTAGGAATGATCGACTCATGGTACTGACAATTTCTTTTTTCTTTTCGGGTCGATCAGAAATACAATTTGGCTGCCATGGCCGCTATTTTGAAAATAGCTATTTCAAACTTAAAAACAAGTTTTAATAGGCCGATCTAACTGAAAATCGGTCTAGCAATGATCAGCTCATAGTCCTGACAAACTTAAGTTAACGTTATACTTTACAATGTTTTACTCAAATTGGTACATATTTCAACAACAAAAATAAATACTGTAGGACTCAGGTGACCGTTAAGGCCCATGGGCCTCTTGTTATATAAAAGTTTTGCTGGTACCTCAAATATTAAAATCTGCAATTATGGTAAAAATATAATGTGTGCGATCACAAATTTAGCATAAACGCACATGTGCACACGCATACTACGTGTGTGATGGGTTTTCATACAACACATGTTGTATCGTCTAAGCACCATCATGTTGCAGAAGTTCACACCCTTTTATTATGAAACAGTAACGTGTGGCCTTTTTAAATAGTATTCCCGGAATCTTTTAAATACCGCCGATTGAGATCTCCTCTTTTTCACAATTTCCTTCGGTTCCGGTTTTTGGAAAACACCTCTTTCGTCCTCTCCAATGCTGTTTGATTTTCTAAGTTCGAAAGAACCTCTAGTGTCATTGACAGTAAATGTTTTCAGTGTCAGATTTCCTGGCAGAAGTAGCTTCGGAAGTGCACACGCCTGTCTATACGATACCTGTGGGGTTTCTTTTCCAGCTGAATGACTCACAACAGGCTCTTTCCTACCGACGTTTACCGGAGGAAGTCTTACTGTGAATCTGACATGATTGGTCTGTTTTCCTATTCGTTTTGTTGACGTCCTTAATGTGTAAGGCATGTTTCCTTTAACTGAACTAGGAACATCCTGATGTTTATATTTGGAATGTGAGTCAATGCCCTGCAACGACAATTTTGTGATTTTACTAGAATTGCATGCATCTCCCTCACTTGCCCCAGTGGGGTCATTTCTGTTCTTCCCTTTACTTTGTTCTTCCTCCTCTGGCGCATCTACTACGACCGTGTTTCCATTAAGACCGTCATTTGTTAACGATGTATCCAGAGCTTGGTATTCCGATTTCTGAATTCTAGGTCGATTATTTTCAAGCCATGATTTGGAATTATCCCGAGGTGAACATTTTTCATCACTCTTGACAATTTCCTGATTTTTTTTCTTGTGTTTCCTCTTTTCTTGTTTTTTAATGTTCACTTTTCTATATCCTCTTTTAAAATGTGTGTGTTCAAAATTTGAATCTGATTTGTGTTCCGTAGCATACACTTCTTGCACTCCTGTCTCTACCCTCGTACATGTCTCTTCCAGTTCTATTTTTGACATTTGAGTTTCTATTTCTTCTGAGATGAGTTGCCATGTACAAGTGCTCATAGATGGTATTTTGCGTATGGTACGCAATCTCATTGTATCTAGCGCTGTTCGTGAGATCCTCTTGGCTGTCATCTCAGCTGATGGTGAGTGTTTGGAACGTTTCTTTCTTTTGTTTTTCCTTTTAGCTTTTTGATAATCATATCCGTCCTGGAGTGGGGCCAGGCTATGACAGGTATCTCTCTTCTTAACCTGAATTTCTCGAAATTCTTGATAAGTTTCTCCAAAGTTCTCACCAAGTTCGGTAGACGCCATTACGCACTTGCCTTCTACATTGATGTCTACGTATAGTTAGTATTGGGTTTCCTCAACAAATGACAGTAGTATATTCCGCTTGAATGACTATTTTAAATGTTTTAGTTTGACTAATCTACCTGTAAATACTCACAGTACAAACCATTCAAAACTTGCTTATCAATGACAATGTGTAGACATTTTAATTATGTCTTTTCCGGTAATTATTTTCGCTTTTCACTCATAACAAAGGACACTACAACAATGATGATGACACACTAGCACAACGCCTTATCAAGGTACAAAACATTTGAGCTAGGTTATTTACTCTACTTAGGTTATCAGGGTGTAAAATTAACGTTACACGTACATCTATATATATATATGTGTGGGGGATTGTACATTTGAATAGGTTATAAGGTTCATATCGTTTGACCACGTAACATCTTTTGTCAGCTGTTCTATTGTAACAATAAATGCTAAAGAAAAACGAATGAAATCTAGATAAAAATACACAGACTATATGATGAGATATTGTATACTGCATTTAGGTTTAAAGGTGAAATACAAGTTAATAAAGTGAAATACGGATTAAACAAAAAAAATCAAACTCGGAGTCTTGTTAACCAAGAGACATAAGGCTCGTGTGTTCAAATGAAAGAACGCATACATACTATACAGACATAAATATATATTGATTAATGTCTGTTAAAACACTATCAGGAGAGTGTTAACTAAATACTTGGGTGCATTATTATTATATTTTTTATTAGCAAAGTACAGATTTGTCTTAACTATTATTGTTAAACTCGATCCACACTTAGATTTCTATAGTAAAGATTCCTTACAACTCTTTCCCTCAGCTCTACAGAAAATGTACCCTTAAAAATTAAACGTAATTCATATTCTAAATCGCCACCATTACACACATATATACACAGTGTAGTTCTAAGAATATTTCACGACGTCCAATGTTCTTTGTATGTATTATGTGTAGATAATCTTAACCTTACCATCATGCAAGTTTAAGTAATAGGTAAAACACAAGGAAATTACGCAGGCAAAAGTTCAAACGTGAACTATTTCAAATTTAATGACTTCAACCATTGAAAACATTGGCATTTTTTTACGATTACGTTTTTGTTTTCATTGCATTTTCCCATGGCCACATCGGCAATTATTTAATAAATGAAAGTTCATTTTCACTACGGTCAGGTATATCTAAATGATGTATTTGTCACCAGTGAAAAATAAAACTTTCCCGGATTTAAACCAATAAAAATACAGAATACAAAAGCTATGAATATCATAACCAGTCAGAAAGCTTGAAATGTGCATTGTCTCCTTGATTGTAACGTCATCGAACTACGACATCATAAACTGAAGCCCAGTCCCACAATGTGAATGGAAGCACTCGTGTTGTTTTTGACAGGGTCTATTTTCATTTTGAAGTTATCAATTATAATCATAACGTTTAAGGTTTCTCCGTTGAATTTCATTTATCTTTTTTTTCTGCCGCAGTCATGAAATATACACATGACAAGTCTGACGTCATTTTTATTTTAACATTTTGAGCACAATTAAGATACGAAATTTATAAAAAAGAAATACTTTTATTTTTTTGCTTCTGTTTTTTGATTTCCTTTTTTTTCTCCAATTAGACACAATTACGCGCAAGTTAATTGTGTCTTTAACATGTTTGTCTATCTTCGTCTCCGTATATACAGTGCCACGCCCAGAATCATAGCGAGCACGGCCATCCCGAGGGTGACGGTGTGTCCCCAACGGACACACTTCATCCCATAACAGTACACTTCCCCAGGGTTTGATATCGCCGCGTCGTAGAGCGCACCAAAAGCCTCCTGGGCACCTAGACCAACCAACGATGATGCCAGAAGGGCGATTCCCCAGTTACGACCGAGGTTATTGATGCTGAACATTTCACTCATGACAGCTGGAGCGATTGACCAAATGAATCCTTGTCCAATCCCGTTCACCACTGTGGCAGTGACAAGCGTCGGGTAATTGTCGGCCAACCCTACCGCGAGACCCTGGCAAATAATAAACGTCGTTACCCCCGCAATGAGGATCCCAAGACGGGGTAACCTTTGTTGATAGCGGTCAGAAATCACACCAACCGCGGCACTGATGACAGCGTTGGTGATGGGAATGACCAGAACGATGTCGGCGTTATGACTGTCCAATTTCAGTGCTGACGTGGTCTGTGTTAGGGCGATTGTGTAAACCAGACCAACAACAGACGCCAAAGTAAATAACCACGTCAGCAACTGATAGTCCAGTGTAGTGAGGATAGTTAATATTGACACCTCATCAGAACTTTGATCAACATTGGAAACCACTGATTCTGTAGCAGATGCCTTTGTCTCAATCGCATTTTCAGAAATTTGGATGTCATTAGACACTACAATATCATCGGAGATTGCTGATTTATCATCGTCACCTATGAAGCATTTGTTGTCAATTTGAACGCCGTCGTTACGCACGTCATGTACACTTACATCCGGTATCGTTTTGTCTGTGGTCTCAATACGAGGATACACTCGCATGAAGGCAACACACAGAATATCGATGACCACAAAACACACGGCGAACACCGCCATTAAGGTGGAAAAACTGTCGGCACTCTTTGGGTCATCTTTCCCAATTACATGGAAATAAAATGTTGCGAATACTGATGGGCTGCCCGCAAAAAACGCGTTGAGGATACCAACGATTTTCCCTCGGTGTTTTGGATGAAAGTTTATGACGTTCGTGTTGAGGGCGACCATATAGGTGAACACAGAACCAATACCTGCAACAGAACATATACAGGAAATGTTAAAGAAAACTTTTAACTATTATAGTATTTAATATGTAAGGACAAAATCCAGGAGTTTGTTAGGTAGGTAGGTAGGGACTGTCCCAATCACCTGCTCTCTGGATTGGCACACGTGATAGTTTGCTTTAATTTATTAATTTATTATGCATAATAGCTGTTCTTAACAAAATTATGATATGGTCTATATATTTTAACATTAAGATGATTGATCCCTGTTATGTAACTATATGTTTTTATACTGTGTAACTATATACTTGTACGATATAATTGTGATATATGACACTATAATAAACAAAATTGACTTGACATACTGAAAAGCATTATCACACCATCTTAAACATTGATAAGTTATTAATAGTGTAGCCGATAGCTTGTAGTCAGGTAAACGCATATAGGTATTTTACAACACTAGCAGTAAAATGTAAAAATAACACTTATTCCGCTAAACTCTAACCGTTATCTGTCATTAATAAAATTAATGGAAAAAAAAACATGCCACCCGTTACATAACACATATCTGTAATTCTTTACAACCAGCACTCACCACAAAGGAAGAAATATATCGCCATGAGCCAGCTACGCGAGCTGTAGAACGCGATAGACCTGGTGGTACTCCATAGAAGAAGGTATGCGGCCAGGGACAGAACCAGCCCCGCCCCCGAACACCATTGGGGTCCGAATCTGTCGTAGAACATTCCCGGCAGGAACCCAATCCCAAGGCCGATGTTAAGGAACGACGATTGAAGCTGAACTGGAAAAAAAGGTTTTTCTAAGCAAAACGTCACTAACAGTCTCTTTGTCAACAATTAAAAGCATCGAGGCACACGAAAGACGACAACATGGGTCAACATCATGGGATTATCGCCTACTTATGTATTGCTCACAAGGAAACTGGTATAATAAGAAAGAAAATGAAGTCGACATAAATCAGATAACAAGAAATGAGGGCATACCAAGCAAAAGGCATTCAGTCATGTACCTTCACTCAAATTATGGAAATTATGTACATCACCAACATTTATGTAGGGAAATTCGATAATGATGACTTTGTAAATCGTGGTTTTGTGTTAATTACTAAGTCTTACCCTCTTTGGCGGTGAAGTTGAATGTGGTTTTGAGAGCATCTTCGTAGGAGTTGAACACGAATAAAGACCCAGACACAAACTTGGCGGCACATCCAATCGCCAGTCCAATCCACTTCATCACGGTAAAGTACCGTGCCGACCTCTGATCCGCCATTGTCATTCAGAAGGAATCTATTCCGTGTAGATGTACCCAGATAGCCCAATGTAACAATGTTTTCGTCAGTGTGTTGTTAGGTTTATACGTGTAGTAATATGATAAGACCTTGTTTTAGTAACACAACCTTCCAGACATCAAGGTCGGACGTTGCTTATTTACAGAGAGATGGAGCTACCGGGCGACTTTATCACTGTCTACCCCGTAATAATCGTTTGACTAGGAGTTAGTGTTGACTGATATACATGTTTATCTCATGACCTTTTAAAGTACACACTTTTATCATTGTGTACGCCTAAACAACAACTCCTTTGGATTCATTATAGTTTACAATGTGTTTTGTTTTTTATAACGTAAACACCGATCTGCAGCGGAAAAGTTCGGAATATAAATGTTAATTTTCAATTTTACATTTCCTTTTGAATCGGTACATGTATTCTTATACAAAAGAACTGTTTTATGTAGTTTGAAAAATCATTTCACTCTCAGACACAACATTATTACAAGAAATACCACGCCGGTCATATACGTCTTCGTAAACTTGAAATACAACTCAATTCAGACTATACACCAGTCGCTAATATTGAACTTTACTTACGTGTCTAACATGACCAGCGGGAACACATTACTTCAAAGCTAAAAAATAAGCATAACAATTTGAACTTTTCGATCGTGAACTTTCTTTTTCTTGAGAGTGTTACGTTTCTGCTTATGCTTTCGTCGAATTCTGTCACACAAATATGTAACACACAGTTTGGAAAAATGGAGATTTCAGTGTTCGCCATCATAATCTCATTGGCATTGTCTTTTCCCGTGTTTCATATGAACATTGATGTTTTTCATTATTCTCAATAGTGTTCTTTGCAGTATTATTGTCACTAGCCCGGTTCTCTATTGGAGAACGTGACATTACTTAGATAAAACTTAGACTTGCATTGCAGGTGTTGTCAATGAAGCAGAATATTACTTTCTCTGAATATCTGTGTATTACTTCGTGTTTTCCTGGTAATATTTCCTTTGTTTATATTTTACACTTATTTTTTATTGATTTTTAGCTCGGATAACGGTTTTTCGCTCTGTGGAACTCTCTTGGCATCTTTGAAGAGATCTTGCAGATATGTTGAAAAGAATCGGACTAATAAGAGTCATTCATGTAGGAAAGGGATATACACATCGATGTTAAGATCCAGTGAGGTTGAAATATATACCTTGTTATTAAATTGACAGTTATTGATAGACGTAATGGTCAGATAATGGGACAGAGTATAGTTTATAATAAGTGGGTTTATTTTCTTTGTCTTTTGTCTAATTGATGAACGCTATGTCCAGGTACTGGCCGCAGGTCTGTGGTTTTTCTTCGGGAACTTCGGCTTTCCTCCACCACCAAAACCTGGCACGTCCTTAAATGACCATAGCTGTTAATAGGACATAAAACACAAACAAACCATAACAAATGTCCAGAACTTTTGTTTATATACTTGTTCAATAATTAAATTATAAATACAAAGCTTTATTAAACAATGGTGCCTGTGGCGAGGGAATTGAAGTGCGCACGTTTAGCGGGTATCTGGATGTTCTATTTATAGATAGGATATCACTGATACCCAGTCCACATGGATGCTAAATTCCGCAATATGAATTAAGGGAAGGGACAGAAAATCGACAATGAGACACGATTGAAGACAACAAAAAGAATGTCATACCGCTTATGGTGAAGCAGATCAGGAATAAGCTGTAATCCGTCTTCATGTTTGGCCAATAACATAAGACTCGGCCCCTTCGGTCGAGATAGGAATCAAAATTTCAAATGTTAGCTGCTTCTGACTAATGACATCTGCGGTTTCAGCAATTTAGATATTATATTAATAAATTATATGGTAAACTATTTACTGATATTTCCGAATATTTAATCATTTATTAATAAATTATGAATTATCCAAACATTCATAAAGAACCACATTAATCCAGGCCAATTATTTTACGGACTTGTGAAGATCAATTCAAAACCAGATCAAACATGTAAAAGGTTGTTTATCGTCTATCTATTATATCTAACCATTGGCTTTCGGGGACTGTTTATCCTAGACCTAAACATGTGTATTATGTCACAATCTATGAGCTTATAATTGCTTGCATATTGTTCTTAATAGAACAGGAGGATTCTCAACCAAGCAGGAAAGAGATACTTTTTACTACTCTTCAATTATTTCACAATTTCCACTTTTGTTTAGCAATGTACTAGTTTAAAATGTGTGAGAAAAATGGAAAACAAATCCAAGAACTTGCGTTGAAATTGATAAAACGTAATTATATTTCATCTTTTAAATATCATTTAAGGTCTTCCAGTGCTACCCTTTTATATGTAAAGAGTTTGAAAGATATGGCATGCGAAGTATTTTAATTGAACAGTAGATCTCTCCTTGATATTCAAGATTTAGCGAAGCAAAAATACCACTCCTTCAGGAATGAAAAACACGATAAATATCCTAGCAGTGAACGCTGTAAACACTCTTTTGATGAAGCCCGTCCGTGAACTGTCATAACTAAGGAAATATGAATCTCATCCGGAATTCCGGAAGCTAATTCACGCATGGTACGCCCTTATTGTGCTGTTCCATATGTACTGAAAGTTTTTGTACAGTCCTCTGTTTAAGTTTGTTTGGAACATCTCTTTGAGTTTTTATGTTGGTTGCCCTAATGTGCTTGTATCATTGCTTTGTTTGTGTTTCTGCATTTGTCGTCCTATGTCACTGTAGTTATGGTTAAAGACCTAGTACTGGAGGGCTGCCCAGAATGTTTGGATGTTGCTTTGTATAATTATCACATTAGTGTATGGCCAAATGACTTGTTAGCTAGGTGATACTCGACCACCTGTCCTCTGAGCTAATATGCTTTGTTTGCTTTGCCTCATTGTACTTGTAATATACCGTTGTTAAATTTCATATTGTCCTTTCTTTTGTGCTGTAGAATTGCTTTATTCCTATTTTATTTATATATACCTATACATAACTACTGAAAGTAGTTCAAAGCTTAATTATAACAGAAAGCAAATATAACAGAGCATGGAATACAATAATAATAATATGTTTTTTATACCGAATGTTCGTGTATCTAGCAAGTACTTCTAAGGCTATGAAGCAGATCTATCTCCTTCTCCGTACATACAGAGTCACACCTAAAATCATAGCGAGTACGACCATCCCGAGGATTACGGCGTGTCCCTCACGAACATACTTCATTCCATAACAGTACACTTCCCCAGGGATGGATATCGTCGCGTCGTAAAAAAAACTCTAGGGCTGCACAACCTACCAGCGAAGACATCAGCAGAGCGATGCCCCAATTGCGACCAAGGTTCTTGATGCTGAACATTTCACTCATGACCACCGGAGATATGGACCAAATGATGCTTTGTCCCACCCCGTTTATCAGTGAAGCAGTAACAAGTGCCTGGTATTTGTCACCCAGTCCTATCACTAGACCCTGGCAAATAATAAACGCCACAGTTCCCATTGTGAGGAGACACATTCGGGGAACTCTTTGGTGAAAATGATCAGAAATTATCCCGATGGCGGCGCTGATAACAGCATTGATGATTGGAATTATTAGAACGATTAACGCGTTTTGACTGTCCATTCCTGATGCCGCCGTAGTCTGTAAGAGGGTAATCAAGAAAACCTGACCAACTGCAGACGTTAACGTAAATATCAACGTCAGGAGCTGAAAGTCAAGTGTGATGAGGAAAGTTAATAAAGACGTACCATCTGACCATGTGGTGTCATCTGGAACTACTAAATCTATATCAGATGCCTTTGTATCACCAATATTCTCGGAACTTTGGATGGCGTTCGTCATATTATTTTCACCAACAATATATCTGTTGTACGCTGGTGTGCCGCTTTTATGCGTGTCAGCTGACCTCAATTCCGGTATAATGGGGTCAGTGAGCTCCATACGTGGAAACATTCGCATAAATGCGATGGATGACTTCCGTACTATTTTTAACGCCCTCGAGGCTTTTATCGTACGGTTGTTCACACAGGCTTTCTGCCCTGACATCAGATATGATGTTGTCTATGGGTTTAACACGTGGATACACTCGCAAAAACGCAATACACAAAATTTCCAGGACCACAAAACACACATTGAACACAATCATCAGCGTGGAAAAACTGTCGCCACTCTTAGGGTCCTTCTTCCCAATTACATGGAAATACAATGCCGCGAAAACCGACGAACTGCCTGCAAAAGAAGCGCTGAGGATGCCCACGATTTTTCCGCGGTGTTTTGGGTGGAAGTTGATGGCGTTGGTATTGAGGGCAACCATGTAATTGAACAAAGAACCAAGACCTGTAATAAAACAAATTGACTTTATTGTGAAACCAGTTAGTACTGATATTCTTAACAAATAAGTTTAAATGATATATTGAGGCTTTGATTCATTAAATATATTATCAAAGTTTCAGATCTCTAGATATTCTTTAACCAAATAAATAAAATACTATATTTCACATTAGGACTCTAAAGACATGCACTGGAATACAGCAGGTGAAAATACCGGCAGTGAAGTCTGTAAGGTATGGACAAAACGTACTATCTTCAGAGGAATAATAGTACTTGTATAAATCGTTTCGGAATTCCGAAGGCCGATTCACACCTCACGTGGCCTCATTGGTGATGAACTGTTTGCTGAACTATTATTCAACTATTTTCCTTTCTCTGCATACTCGCATTTCTAACAATGTGTATTTTAATTTAATGTGCAATATTGTTCAGTATCGCCTTTTGGTTTGCACCTTGCCATGAACGTGACAATTTTTCATATGCTTTATCGAAAAAATAGTTTTTCAGAACTAATGGCTCAATGTTAAATATACACAGCTAAAATCAACGATAAATGTAACAGAGTAACACATACAAAGCGTACATAATTACCACAGATAATAAGCATCAGAAATTGACTTATAAATCGAAGGATTATATCACAATTGTACTCGTATAACACACAGCTATTTTTAACGCTATAGGAATATGTCTATTTCCTTCTTAAAAACAGTGCTACGCCCAGAATCATAGCGAGCACGTCCATCCCGAGGGTGACAGCGTGTCCCCCAGGGACATACTTCATCCCATAACAATACACATCCCCAGGGTTTGATATCGCCGCATCTTAGAGCACACCAAAAGCCTCCTGGGCACCTAGATCAACCAACGATGATGCCAGAAGGGCGATTCCCCAGTTACGGCCGAGGTTATTGATGCTGAACTTTTTTTATTCATGACAGCCGTAGAGATGGATCAAATGATGCCCTGCCCCACCCCGTTTATCACTTTGGCAGTGACAAGAAGCGGGTATGTCGGCAAACCTTACCACAAAACCCTGGCAAATAACAAACTACACAGGGCCTAATCAGTTAAGACAGCTGTCAAAATCATATATACATTCGTCCAACTGCACTCTAATACTGCAGGCAGTCCGGGGAACGGGTAACATGTTTATGTTAAAATGGGGTCAACAAGATGACTCAGCTGGTAGCCCCCTTCGTCTCTGTTCATCAAATCCAATTCCCTCCTAACCCAGATGGATTCTTTGATTTTCCTGACTTTCCAGTTGTCCTCCCTTTCAAGCTATTTAGAGTTGTTCTAGTCTATGAAATGGTTGTGTGTGTTAGAAGGTCTATAATGGATGATTTATTGCATTGTTTCTCCGATGTTTTCCTTGTATTTCTAGTGAAGACTTGCTGTTGCATGGCTTCAACGTCTTTCTGGTGTTCTTTTAGGTGTATCCCAAATTTCCGATCAGTTTACCTGACGTATGTAAGGTTGAAGCTGTTGCAAGGACCGTTCAAGCACCGTATTAACATAACAAATACCAAAGAAATCCGCCAGATATCTTTAAGTGATTGTTTTGTATTAATATTAAGCAAGCTCTCATAAAGAAAAGTGTGAAAGCGAGAATGAAAGTATTGTATACGTAAAACTATAAAATGACCGACAAGTGACACGTCATCTATGGACGACATCTTTCTATAATCTGAACTGTTTAACACATGAGTCGAAACAAATAATTCAAGGATTGAATTGATTCTATTCAAATTCAAACCGTCATGAACATGGACAAAATACCGTTCAACACTGACCTTTACATTTTAAATGTTTAGGTATTTTTAACCTAAATGCATATACATGTCCTTGAAGAAATTGATGTCACATGTTTGTTTTGCAAAGATTAATGTCACATTTATTGATTTTAAGAATGTCAATGAAAAATAAAAAACCGATGGATTTTCTTATTAATTAATTGATTGCTTTACGGTTCCATCACTTACATTAATTACTGCGCGAATCCGTCTTGGCATAACGTGGATTAGTTTCTTCAAAAAGTCCCCTTAGAGAGCATACCACTGAGGCTGGATTTCCTTCCATAGTTCACGCTTTTGATAGGAAATTTCTTGGAAATGCTTCTTTTCCTGTCGTTCCCTATGTTCTCAATGGGATTCAAGTCAGGGCTGTTTCCGGGCCACGGTAGTATCTCGATTCCCTAGGTGCTGAAAAAGTGTTTCGACGACACTGAATTATGACAAGGAGACAAGTCCTGTTGTATAATGTATTCCTTGTTTGGAAAAATCAGACACTCCGAGATGATATCTACATCATTTACAATTTCCGTCTGGTATCTAGGAGAATTTAAGATTCCTTCGTACTTTTTCAAAACGCCAACCATTTTGGCAATTGAAGATTCCCCAACACGAAACACTGGTAGGATGTTTCACAATAAACTATAAAATCTTTCAACAATATATTGACAACACAGAGCTGAATTCTTCTAGCAGATGTTTTCTTTTATTATTACATGAACCTAAGAGTCATCATAACATTTAAGTTAATACATTGCTAATGTTTAAAAGATATTTGTGAAATCATTTTGGGTGGCAAATACGATTTTAGAAAAATATAGCGATCGGTTATTATACTTTATTATAGCATATATTGTAAAAATGCAGCGATTACTTTTCAAACACATCTTCGAACAAACAAATTTACATTACATTTATGAATAACCACGTGACATCAGTTTCTTCATAGAGCTGTATACCTTTATATTTTCGATATTAATGTGTGTGTGTCGTCAGTGCAAACGAGATTCCTGGAACAGCTTAACGTCACCAAAATGTTTCTAACGATTTTCTGATTTTTGAGATCTAATCAGCATTGCCTGATTTATTTATAAATAATCAGCGTATTTCCTTATATCATGTGGGTGTGTAGTAGGAACACGTTCACATTTGGAAAAAAATAATTTGAAAAGTTTTTTATTACTATTTCATGATATGTTTTACTAATATTTCTAATTCCTAATTATATATTCAACCATAATATACACAAACATGTAAATTATATCTATTCTACATTATAAAAATTTAATTAAATGTCTAGTCATTTCTACTGAAGTATCTATAAGACCATGTGACCACTCCTTTATTTACAAATGACTGTAAAAGAATAATCAATCACTGCTCAAATACGGGGAGACTTTCTGAAAAGCGTTATGCGTATATGGTTCGTTTGGAATTCTACTACGTTTGCGATGAAACGGCACTTTTCATTGATAAATAAGCATGGAATATTGGACGATAGACCCTACGCGTGCATGTTTTTTTTGCCATCAGACTAACGCTCTCAAAAAACCTCCCTCAGCAAATCTACCGGTAAACAAGTGAGTCGTGGGTCTGGTTTAATTTGTCGAATAAAGGTATCCCCCATGTTTTTGAGGATTTGCTAGCGGGCAAATGTTTTTTACTTAAAACCTGTCAAGCTCACGATGAGAATGTTCCGCTGAACTAACCGCGAAGGTGACTTGAAATAGTCTTTGTAAATCTGCGAAATGCCTATTTCCTGTGTTGACGAGCGATGTCTATAGATTGGTGGATTTGATTGATTGAAATGAACATCTGGTGTAAAACATGACGTCAGTGTTGACCTTTTATCGCCTGTCTATCAAATGGCGATTGAAAATGATAAACAGATCAACCGCTCACAGGGTCAGAGTTGATAAAAACAAGCAGATTGTAGTGAAACAAAGACATAATAGTGATCACATGACAAATGCTAGCGCGAGTTAGAACAGCCGGATTTCTATAATCAGATTTGCTGGGTCACCTAACTTATCATAGGCATATGGACAATAACTGTCATTACTTTTTACTAGGTAGAATAGATATAATCGATGTATGATTGTACACTTTGGTGAAATATATAACTCGGGATTCGATAATGTTTGAAAAAACATTGGGGTTGGTTAGAGGTGAATTGCTTTAAACGTTTTCGAGAGGATTTGAATCCGCGTTTTGGAAAAGACATTTGCAAGATATTTAAATTAGCGACCGTCTCTCCTCACCAATTCACGCTATAATATATATCTCTCGATATGATATCGATTTTGAATTATAATTCTCGGAATAAGATATCTGATGTCTAAATAGTTTGGGAAACATTGATGATCGGTTAAACATGAAGAATTTGGCTGGTAACGTTTAATCGGGACAAAACTGATGTACTTTATTTTCTCCAGTAGAAATGACGTAGATGCATTATTAGAATTAGAATTTGACGGGAACATTTTAGACTTTTCAGATAGTCACAAGCATTTAGGTGTTACTCTCAACTCCAGTGTCAAATGGGGGGATCATATAGAAGCGATGTATTCTTCAGTTATGAAAAAAAATGTCTTAAAAAAAATTAAAATTTCTATTAAAACGAAACGCCCTATTAAGAATTTACCGAACCTTTATTTTACCTATTTTAGAATATACATGCGAATTGTGGGATGGATGCTCTAGTTTCGAATCAGAAAAGTTGGAAAAAGCCCAACGTGAAGCCGCTCGAATTATAACAGGTCTGCCATCATATGCTAGCATATATTCTTTAAATTTTGAAACAGGTTTAGAAACATTGTCTGCTAGAAGAAAAAGAAGAAAGCTTCAACTCTTGTTTAAAATGCATGCTAATCAAACACCAGACTGTACAAGATCTAGTTCGCTATCCTTATCGAAACAGAAATGATAATAGAATCCCGTATTTCAAAATATCAACAACAAACTCTTCTTTTTTAGCGTCCACTCTTCGCTGTTGGAATACCCTCGACAACTCTATTAGGTCATCAGCTTCATTGAATATCTTTAAAAATTCCCTGAAACCCAACGATCAATTTATTCCTCCTTCGTACTTTGGTAACGGCGACCATAGGTTAAATGTTATTCACACGAAGCTTAGACACCGTTGCAGTTATCAAAATTATGACTTATTCCGTGTGAACCTTGTGGAAACCCCTAGCTGTATTTGTGGACATATTTGTGAAAATATTTATCACTTTTTCTTTCAATGTCGCCGTTACAGTATTGAAAGAAACATTCTTTTTCAGCGAGTAAATTATTTGAGTTTAGAGGTACTATGTGATTTAGATTTGCTTTTATTTGGAAATGAAGACTTGTCGCGTGACACAAATTCGGAAGTCTTTTTATATGTTCATAATTTCATTATTAAAGAAAAGGGCACGACGCTATTTATTTACTTATTTATTTAATTGTTTCAATTTCATTATCCGATGTTACTGTAATATTGTGCTATTACTTATTCAACTGCTAAGATAACATTGTTGGCCGAGCTGGTATTATTAAGATGAAAGACTACGGAAAAGAGGATCTGCGTGATTACGAAAGAGGAAAGTTTTTCAGGATTGAAATGAACAATTTGTAGTGCGTAATGAATGTGTTTATAGTCCAACTGGGTTAACATTGTTATAAGCTTGATAAGTTTGTTATATAACATTGTTATAAGTTTGTTATCTTAATCTAGAGTTTTAATCATGAAATACTAAAATACTAAAATCTCTCTCTCTATCTCTCTCTCTCAAGTATGTGTTTGTTGTAAATTAATTTATGTATTATTAGAAATTGCATATATTTATATGTTGTAAAGCAGTATGGAAAGGGCGTTTATAAGTTGCAATAACTTGTGCCCAATCCTTTTGTAATTATATTGCAATATAATATGTTTAAACTAAAAACTGTAGAATTTTGGTGACGTTAAGCTGGTCTAGTAATCTCGTTTGCACTGACAACACAGACACATTTGGTGACATTAGGCTGTTCCAGTAATCTCGTTTGCACTGACAACACAGACACATTTGGTGACATTAAGGTGTTCCAGTAATCTCGTTTGCATTGACGCCACAGTCACATTTGGTGACATTAAGCTGTTCCAGTAATCTCGTTTGCATTGACGCCACAGACACATTTGGTGACATTAAGCTGTTCCAGTAATCTCGTTTGCACTGACGCCACAGACACATTTGGTGACATTAAGCTGTTACAGTAATCTCGTTTGCACTGACGCCACAGTCACTTTTAGTGACGTTAAGTTTATTTTGAAAATATACGGAAATATATGTATTTAGGTCAAAAGTACCTTAACATTTAAATTTTCAATATAAGGATTGAACGGCATTTTGTCAATGTACCTGATTGTATGAAATAGAAAAGAATTAATTCAATCCTTAAATTATTTATATCGGATCTTGTGTATTTTGGAACAGCTCAGATTATAGAAAGATGGTGTCGATACAAGAAGGGGTCACTTCTCGGGTAATTTATAGTTTATCTGTCGGAGTTATTTTGTATTGGTTATGGTAATACTGCCCTGAAACGGTCCTTGGCAGCACAACTTAATTTTGATATCATTCATTTTATTTAACAACAAAATAATGCCGTTTTGCTGTTAAACTAACCGATTACATACTTCTTCTTGGTGATAATTGTAAAAAAAGGTATACAAACAATATTTTTATGTTTGCATTTGTTATTTATTCACCTTTTTTTTACTTTCTTATCCCATTTTTAATTTTCAAATACCATCATATGTTATGACAGTGTTGGTTTCTATCCCTAAATATTCCTCAAGTGTCTTTAAACCTAAGAAATGAACCTACTTCAGACATACGTTTATACACATGTCTGTTACCTTCATTAATCCCTACTCAAACTAAAACGGTTATACTGTCAATCAAAGTGAGTTGTTTGATGCTATTTTTCATAATTTCATTGAGATTTCAATTATAATTTTATCCAGGAAATATATTCCAGGTTGACAAATATAGTTCCATGCATGCTTTGGTTACCAAACACTCTAGGTAACATGTATTGAACTCAAATATATATTACGTTGCATTTCTGTTCTTTGAATGATTGAATGTGGTCCGTTCTGAAGTTTATTTAAGACTTAATAGTCGTTAGTTTCGGGTCTGAGAAGTATTTTGTCTAAGAATTTGCCAGATTAAGACAACAGGATTGCTATAAATAACATACACCATTCCTTAGAAAGCCGGTAACAAATGTGCGTATTTAATTGATAGCAGAGCTCATCAAATTCTGCAAATATCGATGCTTTCAAACATTTCCTTTAAAAATAAAGATACAGGAGTTAACATAACATCATCAATGAAAAAACTGATATCACATTTCAATGGTTTGATAACAGGAGACACGGTAGTCTATTGGTAGGACGCCGGGCTCGTGACCGAAGGGTTGCGGATTCGAGTCACGCAAGATACTTTACTCCGCTGGTAACAGTCTACTCAGCTATACATGAGTATGTGGTTTGGCAGTGCTAGAATTGAAGAATGCTAGCAGTGAGCGCCGAAATGGCAGCACCGGCTGTATGCGCCCCATGGAATTGAGAAAGATATTGGTTAGTTGCAAAGGCCCGATAACCAAGGATAATAATTTTTTAACTGCTTTGAGACGACCTACAAACTAGGTTGTGATGAAGCGGTATATGAGAACCATGAACTATTATTTTTATTATTATTATATAATATGTAAGGGTTATACTTAACCAGACAGGGTCTAGCTTTGGATTGCGCTCTGACATGCTTTCGTCCCTTGTCTTAGCAACTGTGAATTACCTAACTAATCAGGAAAAAAGCTGAAATCCGACAACTGGTGCTTTGGAAAAGATAACTGTACTCCTATACCTGTGTTCTGGGTCCGATAAAATTTAACCGAGCGGAAGATCACTTTTCCAATGCAAATCATACAAACTGGGGACATGATGTCCGGGCTAATATCTAGGGCAACGTAGTTGTTCCAGTTTATAGACGCTGCTCAATGACCACGTGTTGGTGCATTAAAGCACTTCGGTGTATGTATTGTTATACTTAATATAGTTTACATCGGGCAGTAAATGTCTCAGAAGACACTGATTGAGGGGTTCATGTTGGAAATGTTAACAATTAAAACTGTTTTACAAAATCTACAGCTAATAACTTTGATTTAAATCTCAAGCTCAAAAGTCGGAGCAAATAAAGTCGACCTAGTTTTATTTTGTGAATACTTGAAAAATAAAGAATTTTGTGCGGAATTGATTTATTTTGATATTTTCTGTCCTAACTATGGCCTCCGCTCTTAACCTTTAAATGACATATGACTATCCCTACAGGTAGCTTGTGCATGACAGTATCTGGTGTGATTGTGTTCGTTTCCGATGAGCTATTTATTCTATGAAAAAAACTATGCGATTATTAATACTTAATACGAGTACATATGATGGAATTGTAAAATATAAGTAAAAGTATTAGCCTGAAACGATTACTTTGGAAATAACAATATTGTACGCCCTCAATATACAGATTACCGTTGTATCCATTACATAACTAATAGTATTTATGTAAATATGGCATTGAATGAACGTAGATTATGAAAGTACAATAAGGAATGTGAGATCAGTACAAAATTTAACGAGACTTTAAACTGAATGTAGGGATAAGTAAAAGTTCTCAAAAGATACGGCAATATAACAACTTCGTGTTAGGGAACACAATGTTAATATGATGTCAGTGACTGTTACTACGTATACGGCTACTTTTAATATTTTGATTCAACGAATTTTATCTGAATAAAGTTAAATTCTATAAATGCATCCAAGTTATTGACATAAAATGGGAAAATAAGGAATGATGCACTATCATTTTGTCACCCCATTAACCATTTTTCGCAAGGTTGTCCTTTTGACAACCGTATATGTACATTTTTCAAAAACCAATTTTCCTTTTGCGAGATGTACGTGTAGCGAGTACGCACACGACTCTGGTCGGTGTCATTGTCACGTTAATAGCCAACAAGGAATAGAGGACAAGAGCTATCTGGTATATTATACATGTATTTATTTATTACACAATCATACAACCATTTCCACAGGATGCTCTGTTTAAAATGATGGATATATCTTTTCGGTAAACAGTTTTTGAGGTGATCATACATGAAGCTCAGACTCTCCGAAACTCCAGGGGTTATGCTCACTTATATTCTCTGCCAAAGGACTAATACCAGTTATAAGAATGTCAACATGGTAGGGTCTATAAATTACACCGGACAGCTTTTGGCGCAATTCAACCGTCGTCTTAATTCAACCAACCCCAAGGGACCGGAATGTCAGAAGTGAGAGTTTGTCTAAACCAGCAAATAGTGTGGCATCTACTGCTGGAAATCTGTTGACCCTTATGTACAGCAAACCTGATAGTGCTACCCGTGAAACAAGTAAGTCAACTCACCTGGACAGGTGAATGCACTTAATGCATCCTCCGAGTAAGACGTAATGAACATCTATTGTACAGGATTACAATAGAAAGGTAAAATACATACCTGACCACCCCTATGACTAAATAACTGTGGTCCTAATATTCACAATACTATTAATCACCTAGCTATTCCACATACCGTAATAGGGGTGATAAAGATCAGATAAAAACGTCCTCAAGGAGAAAAATATTGAACATTAACATAATTATGGTAAATCTGTAACAAGAATATGAAAGTTAGTTCTTCCTTCATCACAGGTCCTCCTATTCCTACTCTGGAGCCTCACAATCCTTTCCACTTTCCTTTTGGGGAAGTTTATCCCAGCTACATTGTCCGAGGTTTTCATTGTAGTTACATCGCTCATAGAGGTGACAGCAACTGAGACTGTTGTAGTCACATACTTCTGCTGTGTTTTTCGGAGTACCATAATTTATCTGTAAATGATAAATACAACGTACAAGGTATTATGTGTAAATAATTCTGGGACCGTGGGAACAAAGTGAGACATTTGAATGACAGAAAGCCAGTAGACAGAGTTTGAGACATTTGAAAAAGAGGTCGAGTCCTTGGAGAAGAAGTGAGACAATTGAATGACAGTAAGATAAAAAATGGATATAGAGACACTCGAGAGATTGCGGAAAAGTGGAAAGATATTGAAAAAGTTGAAAAGTTTGACAGATAGCGAGAGTGAACAGACAGCTAGACACTAGAAATATAGTTATATAGGACAGGTGTCTGTCTCTCTATCTCTCAGTGACTCGGCCTCTTCGAGAGAAGGCGGTCGAGGCAATGGTAAGTTAGCGAGACAGTGCAGAAGTAAAAAGAGACAATAGGAAAAAGTGAGATAGTGAACCGTTAATAACGCAGTGAAGTTATAGTTAAATGAAGAGGTGAAAGCAAGGTATCGAGGGGAAAAGTTAAGCAGCGGAAATATATTGAGACACTTACAGACAAAGAGGGAAAGAAGTTGAGAGATGTGGAGAAAATGGGACAATAGAAAGGTCCGGACAATATGGAGACATATAAAAAGCAGTTAGTCATACAATAGCAAAAACACGCAGTTAGGTTACCTCACAGTTATCGCAGTTTTTGTTCCCTATGAAGGTATCGTCCGCAGCACGCCACTTGTACACACTCTTAGGAAGCGGCAAGAGACTCCACTCAACCACGTAACTCTGACACAGGTCGATCGTCTTGCTGCTGCTGACTGTGAAGTCACAGAAGTGTGAGATAGTAAATACAGTCAAACCTGCCTCAGCAATCACTACCGTATAACAATCACCCATCTATAAATAACACCTGTGTATGGTAATCGCCCGTCTATAACTACTACCTGTGTATGGTAATCACCCGTCTATAACTACTACCTGTGTATAGAAATCACCCGTCTATATGAACAACCTGCGTATGGCAATCACCCGTCTAAAACTATTACCTGGTATGTCCATCATCCGTCTATACCTTACACCTGGTATGTCCATCATCCGTCTATAACTTACACCTGGTATGGCAATCACCCGTCTATAACTTACACCTGGTATGGCAATAATCCGTCTATAACTTACACCCGGTATGGCAATCATCCGTCTATAACTAACACATGTGTGTGGCAATCATCCGTCTATAAAGGGCCTGTCACACACTACCGATGTTCCTCGCCTGGACCAAATCAGAGCAAAGAATTAACAACGGCGCGAAAATCGTTGTTCTACTAATGTAAGAGCCGATGTGCTACCGAATACCACTTTTCTGTCATCTCAGTGTTACCGATGCGCCGCCGATGTTATACCGAGGCTCAGCCGTTGTTCTACCGATGTGCCACCGTTGGCCGGAGCTATAGCGGAGTAATACCGTTGCACTGCCGATGATACCACCCGTCTATAACTAAAACCTGGTATGGCAATCATCCGTCTATAACTAACACATGTGTATGACAATCATCCGTCTATAACTAACACCTGGTATGGCAATCATCCGTCTATAACTACCAGCTGAGTATAGCAATCACCCGTCTTAAACTATGAATACTACAGGTATAAAGCTTAAACCTGTGTTTTCAAATAAATTAAGATAACATATACGTGTAACTTCTACCCGTTTTATCTACCTCGACGCTGTCCATTGTCTTGATTTTATATTATTTGCTACAAAAACATGATGAGAAAAATTTCATCCACGCATGACTCTATTCTCTGACCCATGTTTATGATATATGATTAGGTGCTATTTACCTGTCATAAAGTATTTAGTTCCTACAACCAGCCAGGGAATGCCATTCTGCATCGATCCCTTTGTAGTTATAGTTATAACTTCTATCTCAGTCAGATCGGATTCTGTATCCTGAAAACATAATTACAGATATTGGAATTCTTCATTTAAATATTTTTTCACAGATCAATAACTTTTTACGTATTTAATCTTAGATGAATAAACTCGTTTTACGAGCTGTAATCAGCATGTTTTTTATATTTCATTTTCGTCATCTATAAATGTTATAGCTTTATACAGAAGTGTCTGGGAGATTCACGAATCTGGTAACACTGATAAAACATATACCTTACAACAGTCTGTTTTATCAAACGAACAAGGACATTTAAGTAAATAAAATTGAAGTGGCTCAGTGCCAATACAGTAACAGTCACTGTGTATGCAAGTTAATAGTGTATATGTTATAAAAATTGTAGGCTTATACAAGTTAAAATGTACAGAGACATAATAAATACAACATACATTGCATACATACCATACATTGTCAACAATGGGTCGTGGCGAATTAAGACACATCAAGATATTAATCTGCCATAAATCATTAAACAAATAATGTTTGAATCGTTAAACATAACGTGTACCAGTGAGGGATCTAAATTATGAATATCTACCTCAACACCCTGCGACGCATCGTTAATTGGAGAGACAGAAAGGCGATTTGGGGTCCGCTTTGGTGAACACCGGAAAGATACGGAAACCCAAGCAGGAAGGAAATTCACCAGATCAGAAAAGAAGTAGTCGGAGTCCAAGATAAATAAATCGGCAAATACAGACCATGTCACACAGAAAAATCATGTAATTGACTGGAATAACTCCAAAGTATTGGACAGAGAGAGCAATAAGTTCAAGCGGCAAATAAAGGAAGCAATCTGGATGCGCCGCAGTTGGACAGTTCTAAATCGATATGAGGGGGCTCATAGACTCTCGCACATCTATGACCAAGTATTAAACAAAGTGTTTCTGAATCGAGTCATTTCGGTACATATATAACAACTTATTGTACATACGCTTACCGCCTAGCCGAATCGACATCGATTTGTGGACTACTCGTACACATCTTACACCTTTGTATGCAAACGCTTCAATGGTCATTTGTCTGATAAAGGTGATATGCAGTACGCTAAATTGACGGATACTTTACTACATGAGATACATTGCATCCATTACGTAACGGCGACATATACCTACCTTGAACACCTTCATTACGTTAACCTCATATGAGACCCCAGTAGAGCCCTCAGGTGCGTTGTCCACACTTTCATCAAGAGTACTTTTTGTAACCTTCCCTTTGAACGCTGAAAAAGAGTAAAACTGTCTACAAGGTGTGTTGTGTGGTTAGGTATTTTAATACACAACCAGATGAATATGTTTAACAGGTTTTTCCCCTGGTTAATTAATCATACAATTTTATAATAAATCCATGTTTTGGGTGGTCGGGTGATAGCACACTCGCCTGTTAACAAAACGGCCATGGAGGAACTCTCTCGATTGGACATGAACAAGTATTCGGTCACTTCAAGACCAACTGTGTGCTTTCATTCGGGGCAATAAGAGTGATTAACAAAAGTTAGAAAATGTATTTCATAATTGTTATAAACTAAATATGGTTTATGTCAATACTAATTGTGGACTCCATATAATGTACTTCATAAACTGCTTGAACGAACTAGTCTTTTCGAAAGAAAATGTCTATTTGACGTTTCTGAAAAATTATCAAGTAAGTTATGGTATTATTTTCGAATGGTCATACAAGAGGTATAGGACAAAACATATCTGACATCAATAGTCTCGTGAGATCTTGTCTTTAGACATGCATGTAGAATAATAAGATGACTAGCTCGAATGTCTACATACAACATATTATTTAGGAACAACGAGAAGGACGATGAGCACAGTATATATAAATACAATACAATATACATTTCATATACAACATTTGATATAGTGCCTTATCTAGCTAGAATAAGCTCTAAAGCGCTTTATAGTACATATGTATACATTTTATACAATCAACACAATTAGCATATACACTTATCAATGCAATTTTGAGGAATTCGCAGGAGCTGTCTTATCAGGCGCGTACTACTAGTTCTATGCCACCTGGCTCATATCTCACTATGTGTGTACGCCTGTTTGTGTGCTGGAGATGTACTGTCGTTGGACGGACAATACCACATGCTCTGCCGTATTCATACAAAGCAATTAAACGAGATGATTAAATAGGGATCAAATATACAACACTATTTATGATAGCGTCAGTGAGGACATTGTCATTTCTTCTTCTTCTTCTTCTTCTTCTTCTTCTTCTTCTTCTTTTTCTACTTCTTCTTCCTCCAGTAAAGAGCAGACCGTCTCTGTCGTATTATCGCACTTATTAGATGACTTACCATACTTTTGGTTACACAAGGCCGTCTGTGGATGCAGCACGTCAGGATCACACAAGCTGTGAGACAGCCGTGCCGAGCCGAAGACCAACAGGACGGCGAATGTAAGCAGCATGATGAGAATCTGTAGACCTGAAAACGTATAAGGGTGATTTCACTAATAGGAAATAGGATCTACCCAAATCATTATTGAACTTTTTTATGCTAAGACTTTTTCAACATTTTACAGCAGCTTAGGTCATGTTAAGAAGGTTTCTATGGATACATCGCCGTAGAGAAAGTCAACAGATACAGGAGCATTTAAAACGCAAATAGTAATGGCAGTCCTAAGGAGGTCCTCTACAACAAACCAATGATATCCGAATATCCACGTGATAATCAAATTAAGACTACGTTTGTCAATAGGTTACTACAGTGCATGTTTGTACTGCCGCATGCACGTTTTACCCTACTTTTATCCTAAGAAAGAAGGAGTTGTCAGATTAAAGTATGATGCGTTCGTCAAGATGGTCCGGACAGTCAGGCTGCACTGTTTTGAAGTACGAAATACACTGGTGATTATCACGCTTTAATTGTAATATATTGAAACAAACTTTATTATATATTAAGTTATGACTGGCACCTCGAACCCGATATAAGTCTGAGATATTCTAATTGAACTGATTCTAGTAGATCGCATTAACCCTCTTTGCAAATATTCCAGGCATATTTTAGCATATTCAAGAGTTGGTCTTATAAAGACTTATCAATCGTCACGCCTACCGTAGAGTTTTAGAAGTAAGCCACATAGGTAAACACGCGTTTCTACCATAGTAATAGTTAATTATCACAGAACAGGTTATGAATGACAAAGAAAAAGGATACAAAGTAACTACAATAGTTACAGAATAGAGTAAAACGGGCACTTACCCACACGAAGAATATTACTATCGAAGTTACAGAATAGAGAAACTTAACACACTTACCAAAAAAGTAACTATAATAGTTACAGAATAGAGTAAAATAGGCACTTACCCAGACTAAGGGTATAACTAGCGTAGTTACAGAATAAGGAAACTTAACGCTTTTACCTAAAGAGTAGCTACAATAGTAAAAAAATGGGTTAAAAAGGCACTTACCCAGACGAAGATTATTACTAGCGATAGGGTAAATTAACGCACTTACCTAACGGGAAATTACAATAGATACATTCTAGAGTATAAACAAGCACTTACCTAGACAAATACACGAGTTTCAAGAATCTTCTGACGACGTTACGAACAGATCTGCACCCGGGGTTTATAAGTACTGGCCAAAGTGAAACAGCTGGTAAATACGACCCTTGCTGTGTCATTAAACTCCCATTTCTATGATGAGTTTTTCAGTTCAATCTGAGTTTTATAGTGATGTTTCTGTCTATTTGACCGGTCGTTGACAAAGTTCGTCACTTATAATTACATTTTTTATTTAAAACATACTTATGTATTTATTTATGTATTTATCTATTGATGAATTAATTAAATGCTATTTATATAAATTCACCAAACTCTTATTACCAATAAAGATGTACTTGTAAGATTGAAAACAAATAACATCATTAAATTTATAATTATAACAGTAACAGCTTATGAATAAAACAAGAGGATTCATAAAAAAACACTTGAGGTAAAAATGTTTTAACAAAATCGTTATCATACAAGGGCGAAAGCCGAATTAAAAGTTTATGGATTAGAGTACAACCGGAACTGAGGAGGGACCGAAAAATTGGCAATGCCATTGTGAACCCCTACAAAAAGTGGATTAAATGAAAATACTAGTACTTAATTAAACATTATATAATTTCAACGAAAAACATAGTATAACATTTTATAAATAACGCGTATAAGATTTCTGCTGGGTACACAATAGATCGAACAGTATAAGAACGGTAAAAGATACTTCGTAATTTTATGAATATATAAACATTTATAAATAAAATTATTACCTACCGAGGTAAATATCGAAGCGATGCAGTAATTGTCTTTACTCTCTGATTTCATTTTATCTACAATAATTGTCTGAGGTGTATATAGTTTCAGCGATATACATAAGGAGTATTGGGATAGATCTATATTTCCCGGTGTAATGTTAATAATCTGCTATTGCGGTAACAGAAGGCCTACTGGACAGCCCTTCCCCCTATATTGTCGCAAATAGGTGCCTATATGCGAGCGCAAAAGTAAAAGATAATTATTGTAGTATATTGTATGCAATTTTAACAAAAGTGATGTTCATATTGGTATATAATAAACAATATTGAGTTTCTATGAAACAGACAGAAAAAAAACTAAAATAATCTGTATCAGAATAAGCTGGTAAATTTACTCAGTCCAGACTAAAAAAGACTTAAATTTTGGTATTATCAGTATGTCCACATATCATCCAATATGATTGGGAATGAATGACAAGGGGGTAATGAAATAACAATTTCAGATGAAGGGTCTGGATTTTCATACCAAAAAATGTCAGGATAATCATTCCAACCAATTTTGATTTTTTCCCCACTGAAAGTAAACAAAATATATCAAAACGTGTTATTTCCCAATATAAACTATAGTAAGGCCAAACACGAGATTACATGTGTTTTAGGTATTCTGATCACGACCCAATTTTTCCTGTCGACCTGATATCATTTTACCACCTGATTGTATCCAAGCCCAATTCATTAACCAGGCAAAGATCACAGTCACTCATTCAAATGTACTTTCTTCATGTTCTGGTCATGGGATGCTCAGCACTCTTTTTGACAGATTACTTAAACATTGAAAAGCGTACGAATGCAGTTTACAATGTGTAGCAAAGCATAATAATGATCTATGAAAAATAAAATCATTGTTTGCCTACTGATCTACTATTTTTTTCTGGAATGTCGCCTAGAACACACATCAGATTTGTTTTTGCCTAAACCACAACCTCTCCCCAAAGAGTAATGGGTCATCCAGGGAAATATTCATGAGTCTGATATAGCACTTCAGGACCTTTCCATCTATGGGGAGTATTTGATGGTAGCATATATGTGTCTAAGAAGAAAAAAGACGAAGTTGTATTCAATTTGACCACTTTTAACCCCAGCCCTCAGAACCTTGTGGATTAGTTCAATTCAATTCAGTGGTTTAAAGGGGTAGAGAACGAAGTAGGGCTAGAGGGGTATGTGTGGGATGACCAATGAACTTCAAATCTTTTATTTCATCACTCGTATAAGTATGTGTCGATAGGACAAGCTCAAGTTCATCTACAAAATTAATAATAATTTGAACTTTGTTTTTATTGACAGAAACAAGTGATGATACATTTATGTAAATTTGTTATATTATCATCAATATTAACAGCATAAGTTTCAGGGAAAATGACATGATGTTTTACTAGAAAGGTTAAAAATGTCGGAGAAATGCATAGTAAATGTAGCGTAAAACATAGAACATGTATGTGATACAAAATATCATGATAATGGCAAATCATTTTTGAGACAAAACGTCTTGTTACGATTATATTTGTAAAACTTACGTTCTTACGTTGCTAAACTGGCCTTTCCAATAAATATCATTTAAAAAGGATTAGATAAAATCGCTGCATAGATAAGTTCCATATAATACTGTAAGATAATATGGGTGATCTTACCTGGTGCAGACAATCATTGTTCACATTTGTGGAGCTCAGCCGTCTAAAAGCTGTTTGTAATACGGTGATTATGATGCTGACACCAAGCGCTTATAATTATGTACAACAAGCTAAGAATTGAATGTTCCTGGTTCGGAAAAAATAAAAAATGGAGAATACCAAAATGTCAACATTACCATAATTCGGACTCGAACTCGATAAAATTAGGGCGAAATATGAACAAAGGAAAATGTACATGGATACCTTTGAAAAAAGACCAGGTGTTCCAGAAGGGTAAGCGTCTTCTGCTTTATCGCAATGAGATCTTAGTCGAAATCAAATAATCTCACGTCCTAATATCAAGAACTTAGTTAGTGGATAGAGAACCACAAGTCACTCTTATGAGAATTTCAAAAAACATCGACCTTCATATCACACAAAGATATAACATATTTCTCTGCGTGATCATGATGGTGACCATAGATCTTTGTAATAGTCTTCACCAACCTGCATCTTGGGATCATCAATTAATTTCCTGTTCTTCAAAGACAATATATCGTCGATATATCTGAATGTGGAATTGAATGACATGGCTAGGTTTTTGTTACCAGTCCTGAGAGAGGTTCATCAATAAATTCAGCTTCATAAGAAAAACAGAAACATATCGGCCTGAAGAAGGGCACAGTTTGATCCCATGGGAAACCCCACAGCCTAATGGAAAATCTTGCCACCGAACTCAACAATGACAGTGTCAACTAGGAACTCAATCATTTTCACAACATCGTCTCCGGTATTTCAACTAAGTATAGTAATTTCATTTTGGCCTTTGTTTTATTTTCACAAAATATGCTCGAAAATAATTTGCAGTCTTATATTTATATCGCCGTATGCTTTTCTTTAAAAAAGAAGATACCATAACAAAAGAACGTAGGCGTTTCTTCACTTTAGTATGAGGATTGGTAGTGTAAATGATAGAAAAGTCAAAAATTGTAATAGAAGAAACAATTTGATTTTTTGAACTCTTCAAAATCGTCATACCATTCCTTGAGCATACAGTATTACAAAATGACTGCTACCATGATTTAATGGTACTGAGAATGGTATTGAGAAGTTTTTATATGACTTGGTTGCGGAACTTGAAGAACCAGCGATAAAAAGTTGTTTATAAGGATTCTCTTGAAGTTTTGCAATCCAATGCAAACGAGGCAGGACCGTATTCTTAACACTAGTAGATATTCTGAAAGATCAATACAGAAGTGTGATTGGCTAGTATGTCATCTTTCGTAAAATTTGAAAATGTATAGGTATGATTTCCTTTGTTATCTAGCCAAGCCTATTTTATTTTTGCAAGCAGGTAATGAAATAAATAGTGTTTGCAGACAGAGATTATTCTATAAAACGTTTTGTCTGCAGACATTACTACATTCTATCATGCAGATCGTCGAGTGTGGTTTGGACGTCATAGTCAAGAAATACAGACTTGTGTTTTGTTTCCGTTTTATATTTCAAGCGTCTAATCCCTTTTAGAACGATGGATCTGATGAATTTGACCAATTCTACAAGTAATTCCGTTTCCATAATGGGGTCGTTTTGCCTATTTCTTACGTATCTTTCCATAAGTACCTTGAAATTAACTTTCCAAATGATAATTTGAGTCTCTTGCTAATCTCGTATCTTTGCAGTATGGAAACTATTTAGATCGCCAATCATTACATGAACAGCCAAACCATAGTAGTAGGGGAACGTGGAGCAATAATAGGCTGAATGAGGAGTAATTCTAAGGTCATCTAAATTCAACTGATGTAGCATTTGCTTGCAGTTAAAAAGTTTGGAAGCGATGAGTTTAGAATAACTGTAGATAATTTATGTGGTTCTTTTGTATCTGAAGTTCATTGGTATGTAAGCTTGGACGGACTTTTGCTGTATGATGCTACTGGTGTTAATGACATCAGTCCCCTTGTTGGCAAATTAGTTGAACTTGTGCTTCATCCGCAATGATTCGGAGCCTCGTGCAGGTAAGCATCCGCATGTGCAGAGGCCCGACGAAATCGCACCCTGCTAGCCCGTTGTTTGTCGTGTACATTAACTCAGAAATTAACCATTCTGACACACATGTATATTATATTTTGTTGCTCATGATGTTGGAACAATAGTTAATGGGTCAAGTTATTCTAAACAATCAAGGCACTGTTCTTGAAAAAACCCATAAAGCTAGAACAGCCAAAAACAAAGGGAAATACCATGAATTTACTGGTAACCAAATCAAATTATGTATACATACTATATATACAATAAATGACAAATACATTCAGAGCGTTTCATAGGAATTCCTTAGAACTTTCACCTCTTTAGAGGTTCATCAGGGGATGTGTTCATTCACTTTGACAGGACAGCTACATAGAAATTGACAACGTCATGAATCAACACAACCTGCCCAAAATGACTCCAAAGTTAACAATGCACTATGACGTCGACATTTGTGGAACAGCAAAGATGGTGTTACAAACCAAAGATATTAAGTTACAGACATGGGTATAGCAACAGACTTTCGTATACTTTTGCTGATTTATTCATGTCACGATATGTGTTGTTAAAAACAATTTAAACCAGGTTTTAATGTATCGATTACCATTGGTTCATGTGTACGATGTCTTCTGTAGCTTGATATATACGAATCACCGTGAATTTATCATTTAAAACCAGAAAGTCTTTGTGTCATCTTTTTTATATATATATATATACAAATACGTTATTATCAGTGTCCAGATCCACGCCATTCATAAAGGTATATTATGAATACATAAAGGTTTTTGTTTTTAAACATTTCCTTTAAAGAATACTTGCCCGACTTTATAAAGGGAACGAATTAGTGACAGCTGTTTAAGCCTCTTACAACGTTAAGTAGATACATTGATGTTACCTGCTTGGTAATCTTGTTTGTAATCTTACTCATGCTCACTCGACTCTTTCTAGAGACAGTTTATTTATAAATATCCTACATGTTTGCTACATCACATCGCGATTTACATTTATCTTCTCTATATTGAATTCCAAAATTGCAAACTTATCCCTACAGATAACGGCTTACGTTAGAATTGAACGGTATTTTTCACGATTTCATACCGGCATGAACATTAAAAAATACCGTACAATACTCATATTTACATTCGAAACATTTTGTTATCATTGAAATTATTAAAGATATTCCTTAATATTTACGATATTGAAGTGTCTGTGTCGTCACAGCAAACAACATTCCTGGAACAGCTTAATGTCACCAAAATGTTTGATTATAGCGGTTGTCGCATTTTAATCAATGAGGAAGGAGAAGCGGATCGAATTGCGTTCATAGCTCTTTGAAAGCAAGAGCTATGAGCGCAATTTCTCCTGTAATGCTAATAGAGGAACTTGAAGTGGAAATATGTATATATAGTATTATAAGATCTTCTAATTGGTCAGATACATAACTTTCCCAAGCATGAACAAACAATAATGCTTTCATCAATAAAAGGCAGACGACATCAAACATACAGTGCAGCCCATGTTAAGTAGCCACACGAACGCACCTCAACATATCCTTAATTACCTTATTATTATTTTTTGTAACATCCGTTCAATCTTTTGATATCCACATGTTACACATTCCCATTTTCTTCTTAATTCGTAAACAATATTTTACGAAATCATATATTTAAGGGCAAATAACGAGGATCCTGCCAAGACATGAACTAGCCATTCATAGAAAATGCAGACAGCCGTGACATCCAAGTACACAGCGATGTCGGGGCTTAACAAATTACATACTGATACTTATAAAAATACCAGAAGTAACTGAAATCGGCAATTTCGCCAACAGCAGTTTCAATTCGTCAATCACTTTTAACTGTCGCAAATTAAGCCGGTGCCGGTGCATGGCGGCAGCCAGCGCAAGCCTTGCAAATCCTTAAATTTTGCTGTCATTTAAATGTACATCGACAACGTAATGACTTGAAATAACAAGATATTTCCATGTCGACCGGCCTTAGATCGACACCATAGACTAGATTATTGATAAGTAAGAGTAGATAATTGTTGAGTAGAGGTCGTGAGTTTGATAATGGTTGATGGTTCAGTAGTTGTTTAGTTAGGTAGATGGTGATATAGCAGACAATTTGAGTGAAATACATGATACGTTAGAGTACCAGTTGGAAGTGGAGTCGAGCTTGAGGTGGAAAGGTTAACTTCATGCATAAGATAATAGAGATGTCAGGTAAAATGAATGTTTTACATATGTATAATACAATTACTGTATCCTGTACCCATCTCATAACAATCGCGATCATTCTGATCTTTTAAGTGTAAGATTGATGTGGCGTTGTCGGAAGATGATTGTTATCCTGACATATAACCTAGTCTCCGGCACATCTGCTACACCGTGGTAGTATATATTTGCTTGATCAGTGATAAAACAGTACAAGAAGAAAAAAAATCGGGTAAGTGTTTTCTTTTTAAGAAAGTATGCGTCACTATCTAGTATACATATTTTCAGCTACATAAACTATTATTTTTTTAATCATACGGAACGAAGACAAGAACTTTATTTGCTCGTATCTGTCATCATAATTGTATTACTGTAGATTTCTTTGATATCAATGTGTGCCATGACCTTACAGTTGATTTTGTATTTCGATTTTAATCTAGTATGTGTACTAATATATATCCTAGGTTGTCGACGCTTTGCTAATTTTCTTTTATCATCACTTCGCATGAGTTAAACCAAGAAGCTAATGACTACGGTTAGATGCCAATCATTGTGATTGGTTAAATAAAGATTTCATCAATTTATCACCACAGAACTTTACCAGCTTTCCACAATGACGTTGCTGTCGGTGCTACTGTTTGGCGTACTTCTTCTTTGTGGTGCACACACCGTGTTCGGCTGTTCTTGTGCGCCTTCACCTCCGCATCGCCAACTGCTTTACTGTAACAACGATATCGGTAAGTAGGTTATACTTTATGTTTTAATTTTCAACTTATATTGCAAGGTGTTAATATCAATGTCAAAATAAGAAAAGAAGTGTTAGAAATTGTTGAAATTCCTTCTTTGTCACTAGTTAAAATAGGCATAATTACCAAATGTGTTATTGTAGGAAGTTGTACTAGCGGAACATGCGCACTCAGCATTTTTCGGAAGCGGTTTCGAAGCCAATTAAGATGATACAAAAAATATGTGTTCTCTATCTAGGGTGGTGAAAAACGCGAAAGGTACACGGTTCTTCTTTGTTGTTACAAAGTTGCACACCACAAATGACGAAATATACCATGTCGTTTATAGTGCATTTTCAACATGAACATATTCCACAGAGTAAAAAAACAAAAAGACAAAATAGCACAATATCAACACACAAGTACACAAAGTTCAAATAAAACAGCATTACCATACAGAAATACCACGAACATTCACAAAAACTACACGAACAGAGAAGACATTCAAACATATGCTATTTACAGATATGTCCTCCTTACGCAAAACGACATGCTCCTTAAGAATAGCTGTTTATAAAGGTTTTATTTTGTCATTCAAAAGTATCATTATAAACGGGAAGATACTACTGTGACGCCTTTTTTTAATTATTTCTATCGGGTTTGGGTCACTCAAATAAGTTCAGTTAGTCAAGTTGTTTGAAAATATCATTTTAGGTTTATGTATTTTTGAGTGAAAATACGTTTTGCAAAAATAATCGAGGTACTAGTCTTGTGTTTAACACGTGACTCATGTGCTTTGCTGTTAATAAACCTCTGAAATGTATTTTGCGATTACGTCATTGAAGAAAATATACATTAAATTAACAGAAAAATATAAAAACAGATTCTGAATACTTCAAGATAATCGTAGAAAATACGTTTTCGCAAATATTTGCATTCATATTTGGTTACGTGATGAAGAGGAAACGTGAAAAATAAATAAAATATAATGTATTTCTTTTTTATACAGTAACGAAAACTCGTCCTCGAAATTTCTATGAAGATTCTGGGTAAATGAATACCTACTATTTCTTTTCATAAATCTCCTATGAAACGGATCCTACATATGCCTTACCAATAACTTTTAACAAAAAATTACATGATAACAAGTCATTTCAAGCTGTACTTTCTGAACTAAAGACGGCTTTGTTAAGTCAATTCAATTTCTGGTACATAACGCAATTGAAAAGGCTAAGTGTATTTTCAAAAAACTCCTAATATACACTGTTGATGATACGTGAAAACATCTTAATGACCTGGCAACACGCCAATGTCATACATGGCTACAAAGTCGAATAACAACGGTCTAAATCTTGTTGAATGAGTTCTCGATTATACACAAGATATATCAGTTTAAGTACGCCGGGCGCTCGTGTTTTAATCACAAAAGGTCATCAACGGTGCTATAAGTTGAAATATAGATGCTACAAAGTAAAATATATATCTACAAAGATAGGGTATCACCATCATAGTATGTTAAAATTTAGAAACATAATAATATTTTACGTACGTTTCAATTGTTGATCAGTACTGTTGATACTTTCCACAGCAGCATGATACTTTAAACGATATCTCATGAGTAAACCTAACTCGTTTTTAGATCCTCGTGTAGATATTTGACCATCAGCATTTAATGTAAATTTTCCAGCAATGCTTTTAATGGAAGTTGTGAAACTATAGTAGGCGTTTTATTTTTTTTAATCGTTACTTCATCATTTATGACAGTGTTATCTACAATACAGTGTAGAGCTTTTTGTTTGATATTGCAGTTTTCATCGGAAAAATTAGAGAAGTCCTCCCTGCAGCCTCAATGGACGACGATCACATATATCACGTTAAAGTGAGGAGGGTCTTCAAAGTAAGCATCACTTTCTTGGTTTTGTTTTTATAACATCCAAATTAGGGTTCGTCGGTAGTGGAGACAATCGTCGTTTATCCAGATATACCATAACGAGGTTATTGGTTAAGTGCGGAGCATGGATTTATTTTGTATTTGATACCATAACGAGGCTATTGGGAAATTTCGGAACATTGATTTATTTTCTCCCATCTTTCACAAATTGTTTTAAGTTTTACCTGTTCATGATATGATAAGTGATGAGTTCTTTGTCTGCCTGTAGGGTTTGATATATAACATAGGAACAAAATAATACGATGACGTCAGGATAACATCAAAACTATATTTCGACGGAGAAGGTCAATTGCCAAAAAAACAGGCCAGGCTACTTATGATAAATTTGTGATTAAACTAAATAAAGACGGAATAAATAATATTCTACCTTCATTGTGAAACAGAGACATATGTAACCTACCCGAAGTAAAACCAAAATGGTGTCTAACCCGAAGCACCTCCGAGGGTAAGACACCTAAAATATCTAAACGAGGGCTAGTGTTTTATCTGCTACTTCCTCAATATTACGGATGGTTATTTTCTCCAATCCTAATATTTCTGTCACAACTATAGTCTGGTTTAATATATTTTATAGTATGTTGTATACACAAATACATCCCGAAAGTGCAATTTTTGTGTAATGATACTATGTTTCATCCTTGTTATTGAAGTGATTGTCCCAACAATTTAGATTTATTTTATTATTCTGAATTTGCTTCCTTGAATACTTACCCAAAGCTGAAACTGGCTTTGCAGTTAATTGGTCAACAGGGAGAGGCTAATAAAATATTCAGATATTTCCACAGGATCTGACGAGGCAAAACAATTGTGTCGTGATACATGTAAGCTTAATGGCATTTTCGTAAAATGTTTTGAATAGCGATGTTATACTATTGATGGTACTTTGTTAATGTGGTTTGGCAGGGAAATATTAGTGGTGTTATAACAGTGAAGACTCCCAACAATGGCGGGATGTGTGGCATCACCGGGCTTGTGAAGAAAGAAAAGTACCTGATGACAGGTATGGCCAGATTGTTGAATCACTAGAATACCAGATAATGACAAACGTGATCCAATACGATTCTACAAAAGCTATCACAACATAGTTAATTTGCCAATTAGATCTATATTTTTAAGAAATATTCTCTTTTCTTCTTGGATTTGTTTTGTAGCCAAAAGCAATAATGACGGTACCTACCAAATACAGCTTTGCCAAAGTCTTATCCTGAACAAGAACTCCGTAACAAACGAAGTCAAACGAAAGTATAATTCCAACCGAAGATACAGTTTCCCAGGATTGAACGACATCAACTGTAAAACGTGCAAGGTAACGTTCTTCATGTTACACGTCATTTTTCATGTGACACGTCATTATAGGGAACACATATATATCGAATCTTAATTAGATTGTACATTGTTATATTTCGATGACTTCGAAATTAAAATGAAGTTTAAGATACGTCAAAAGTAAATCAAAAGTCGTAAAGTTAGTTCTTTAGTGACATAGAGAAAGATTTATCCAGTTACAATTTCCCCAATAAATACTGTATACCAAATGATATGTAACTAAAATGGATGTTTGTATTTTTTTTTTTTATCTTAAACCTATGCTGGCAAAAACGGTTTTCGCATGTGTATTTCTGTATTTCATTGGCGCAGTATTTTCTGACCGGTTGTGTCGTGATTATAAATAATATATTCCTGTAAAAGGCACAGTGACACGTATCAATAATATAAAAAGTTATCTTTACATTAGTGGATTTTATTTGAGATATCATTACATACTTAACATTAACATATCTATTAGAATTGGATACTGTAAGGCATCATCACGGTTTGTTGCTTACATATAGCATAATAGTTTGATTGTTTAAATTATTAAAAGTTGTAATACAATAACATGTACCTCATTATACTTACATCACTAGCCTTAAGTCGCCTCTTACGATCATGCAGTGGGTAACAGCAGACTGATTCTTTTCTCGATCCAGGGGTGTACCATTCTGATATCCTCTGTCTGGAAGTTTACGTACAAATGTTTTCATTTAGGACAAAAAATACATAAATTTCAAAAAAACTATCAGGATGACTAATAACCATATGTAAAGTATGCACAATTAAGTTTTCTATGGTTACAGATAGTGTACTGCGGGGAATCAAAGGATGGATGTGGCTCTAATCGGCCTACTACATGTACGTATTACGGTGACTATACTAAGATCCAGTGCTTTAACAAGCTAAGATGTATACCCTCCGCGTCCGGGAAATCGTGCAGGTGGTCATCCCCAGTGTGTGGAAGACCCGGAGATATCACAATTGGCTAATCAGTCTAGTAAATAAAAAATCCTGACACACAAACATGTTTTGTTATTGATCACAGTGTGGATATAATAGTCTTAACGAATCCTTGACATACTGAACAATTCTCAGTATTGCTGACTACATGTATAACAGGTTGTGTGAATTTGTTCTCTACAATAACCCAAAATACAGTGAAGAGTTATATAGTTACTGCAACTAAATTACAAAACACTTATGAATGATTTTGATGACTATTGAATAGGTATATTAGAAAGTTCACGAGTAACCGGAAGAGGTTCTGGTTGAGATCCTTTCTGAGTGAGTTATATCTATCAGTTATTTTAGACGGGTTTTAATACTTTAGGTGAGAAAAAAATCTGTTTTATTGACACCTCTGTTAAAAACAATTGATTTAACTCCATGGAATGGAAGTAGTCGTAACAGCTGATAATATATTTAACAGCGTTAAGTTTATAAATACTAACTGCTTGCTTTTTGATCTTACCTCTTCTACTTAATTTATTATTTCTAGTTTAAATTGTATTTTATGCAATGAACATGTAAAATTGCATAAGACATTTTATGACGATGATTGGGAATTAAGTACTAAGGTGTGTATACAGTCATTCTCATCGTTCGTAACAAGCCACGCTAACAATACATGTATACCTTTACAGCGATAATCTTAGTAACTATTACACAAAGTGTAACTATTGAGATTATAAAAATCAATACCATCAGAGTTAATAAACTACCTGACAGTTTTTTACACACTTGAAAGGGTAATAACTTTATATAGTACGCTTATTACTGTAGTTTATCGAGTTACATCCGCAAAACCTCCTGAGAAGCTATCTATTTTTCTCGTATGTCTAGGTTACATCACCAAATAGTTATTCGTCACTTTATTCGTGTGGAATGGAGTCTAGCATCTTTGTCGGGATTCATAATGGTACAAAGGAAGAAATACTTGAACTCACGTTCACAAAATTTCCTCATATATACAAAGATTTATCAACTGCATCCGAGATAAAGACTAAATGATATATTTTACATAATCTCGATTCTACATATTAAGGGGGTTAGGGTAACGTCCTGTCCATTTTTTTAGTTTATGAAGTGTTATGAGGAATCTTTTTTTTAGGAATATTATTCAAAAGAGAAATATGTGAAAATAGGAAGGACTTCACGAGCTTATTGAACTGGATATACCAGCAGTCCAAACATAAACTCAAAAGTCAGGAATTGATACATGTGTTGCTCTTGCACAGTTTTATCATGACAAAAAAAAAGTTAAAAAGCATTATACAAGATTGGTGACAACTAACTGCTACATAGCTCAAGAAAGGCCATCAGAAAGGGAGCAAAACTTGATCCTACATCGGCAGGGCCATAAACAATTGAAGCAGTGCAAGACATGGGAACGTATAAGGTGTCACATAAGAAAACACTGGTAAATGGAGCAAAACTTCTAAAGTACTTGTGGCCAGAGGAACCGAAATCGGAGAGAAAGGACGAACAACTTACAGGACTACAGGACAGAAAGAGAAATCAAAGAAGAGAGGGACAATGACTGAATAACTTGAAACTCTTATTTACGTGTATCGTGTGTTGTCAATGTGGTGATCGAGAGATTAAAGAACTACATCCCCAAGATGTACTGGTCCGTAGCGTCGTCAGAATCCCTGAAAGCGGCATTGACCAAGGAAAACGATGACGAACGTATACTGATGTCTAAAGACTTCGATCACAACATCTTTGTATTAATCTATACAGATGTCCTATACGACATTGGCGTAGGATTCGTTTTGAACGATTTTGACCCAAATGTGTTCAACGTACTTTGTATCTTCACCAGCTTAGATACAATTAAGGAACCGGTAGTTCATGTCAGAAACACGATCATCTATATCGTTAAATGCTAACGTATTAAAATGTTGGTTTTAACGTACATATGTAACTCGCATGTTTGCTTTTCCGAAGAAAAAGAAAACTTGTTCATATCAATGCCACTTATTTACCATCATCCCTTCAACGTATTTAAAGAACTCGCGTTTAATTCATTTCCGTTAAACGTACACTAGATCGCTTTAAAATGACCAAGTAAAAAAAAAAAGGTATATTTTGTAAAAAGTCCATGATGACAACGAACAATTAGATGGTCAATCATGCTAAAAGCTGACGTGGTAAAATGCTATTTACTTTGTGCTGCGTAACACGTAAATGTGATAACGTTATTATAACATGATGATTAACGGGTTGAAGTGTTGTTTCATGAACGCATTGAAGGATGTTTTAGCACGTCAGTATTTAACATGGTGTTTTCATGAACCAGGAAACATTAATGACATTTAAATTGCCCGGTTATTGCCATTCCACACGCAGTGCTGTTTTCCTTACATGTTTTTCTTCCGCTTAAACGTGTTTTTAAACTGTTCTTATCTCGCCGACAATTGCTCTGTACCAATCAAGGCCTATGAGATACTCTTCTTGTCAGAACGTAATAAATAACCAATATTGTTGAAATTAAAGATCGTTCGTATTTGTTGTTAATTGTGAGTTTTCATAATGCGAAATTATAGCATGTCAGTCGTTTCTTCGTTATCATGTGATACATGTGTATGGTGAAATGTCTACCAATTACTGAACTGCTTCTTTTTGCAAGTATTCAACATTTATACAAGACAAACAAATCAATAATCCCTGTAAAGTAATCATTGAAATATACAGTTGCATAAATGATACCAACGATATTCGTTGAGCTTCCATTTAAAGTATCGATATCGGTGACCTTAGCTTTTGACCTACCCCAGTCCTATTCAAACTTGTGCCAAAAAAAATCAATCGAATGCAGCTTGATGACCAGATTTTTCGGTAAACTTCTATTTTAAGGTAATTTCGATATTGACCTTTGAGCGGATGGCCGGGCGGATTAGAGGAGATATACCATATCATTGGTATATGTTCGTGCATAGAGGTTGATGTTTCCTTTCCTAGGTAAGATTTCTATCGTAGAAAAATGACCCCCGGGTAGGTTTTCTTCGCGGGTCACTTTTTCATGTTACACCGGTCTTAATATTGAATTGAACAATTAATAAAATATTATTGTATATTATGTAAAATATCTTATAACATAAATGATATCTAATAGATAAGTTACCATTTTTTTATATATATATTTTATGAGGCCCATCATCCTCGATATCCAGGAGTTATGATCGCTTTTGCTCTCAATACACCTTGAATATGTCATAGCAAAATTGAAGGCACGCGGCTAGCTATTTGATTGGTGTCAGTTTAAAAAACCCTGACGAATCACTAGGCTAATACTTGTCTTTTGAAGAGTACAGAGGGGCGCCGACCAACTTCAAAGCCAAAAAGTTATATCGTTGTGTGACCGCGAGATTCTTTTGATGTACATCAAAAGATCAAACTACCTTTCTCGTCTCATCCACAAGGTGGTGCACACTGAGCCTTTGCTTTTGCTATGACATATTCCGGGGATAAAGGGAGTTTAATCCCTTGATATCAAGGATGGAGGCCAAATTCCTTATGTAGTTCTCTATGTCTTATATCATATATGAGATTTCGTATACGTATAGAAAAATAAGATATAACAACCGACTTCAGAACCAGTAGACCCTACACAGAGCAGGGATCAAGCAAACCATTGATACAAATGTATCAGAAGTAACAAAACCAAGAGACAAGTGTAAGTAGTTAGACCGATATTGTTGTTATAGTGATGAAGCGGGAACTGTGGCATTATTGCGCCTCCTCCTAATGCCTGCACGTACCCCGGTGATCTTACAAGAATAAAATGTTACAACAGGCTGCGGTGTTTACCCTCCGCGTCAGGACATTCGTGCAGAGGGTCAGCTTTTAGCTGTCTGGTGGGCATACTTTAACTGTGGTGGTCCTGATGGCTAATTCATTGTTTGTGACTTTGTATGGTAAATAAACTAAACATTGTCACGCACCAACAAAAGATGCGTTGTTTTTGTTATGGTTAAAAGTTAAAAGTGGTCGTACTTTGAATTATAACTACATTTCAGGTATCTAAGTAGCTTCAATATGTCAAATAATGTCAGCAGAACATGTGATCCAAGGAATTTTCATTGATTTGTCGTAATTTGCTCGAATAAGTATACGAGGGTCATTCAATAACTTCTGTCATCAAACAGCCCACATACGGACGAGCAATCAAAACGTTAAACACATTAGCAGACTGCAAATGCATTGAAAGAATATTGGGCACAGTCAGAATGTGATGTGTACCGCCATCTAAAATACCAACCAAATGAGCTATCTTAGAAACATTGTAGCGTCCATCATCCTTTATTGGGCGTTTGTCCTCTTTGATGTTAGCTTTATCATTCTTGAATTTGTTTACCCATCTGAAAATAGTTCTCAATGTAACGGCAGATGCGCCTTTTATGCCGCATGCATCTGTTTGGGGTTATCTGTCTGTGCATCGTCCTTTAATATAGGAGCGTATCACCAATTTAGTTTGAACCATAATTCTAGTTTCATAAATTTCATATGAAATAAAAACGAGTGAAAGATTTTTTTATCACATAATCAAGATTTGTGGCATTTATTCGTGTAGTACGACCTTTTCCATGCAACATTAAAATGTAAAAAAAAACACGCCATTTTGACGTTATGTACTTGTCCTAGGCGTGGCGTCACAATTTGGACGTAAATCATTCATGAACATTTTCAATCAGCCTACCGTGTCTTTAATTCTACGAAACAACAGCCCCGCTGCACATGTACTTCCTGACCTATCAGCTGCCTTCGACGTTATTAACTGACGTTCTCAACAGGCATCTGGAATAAACATATGGTATATATGGTACGGAACATTCATGAATGCAATCCTACATCAGTGACTGAAAATAACCGATCGCGGTAGGCTCCGTCTTTTCAAAGGAGCAGTGTATGCGTTTACTGTATTCCAAACCAGTTAGTCAGATTTGTCTGAAACACAACATGTGTTATCACATATATTCAGATGATATACCGGTCTATCTGATAAGCAAACCG